GAACAAGTGACCTGAAGAGTGTCATCATGGGCTTGGCCTCCCTAGTTTTGAAGGTTCTCATTATCCATCCTGTCATTTTTCTAGCAGATGCGATTGATACAATGTTATGGTCCTTGAAGGTGAGATCCTCCGACATGATCACTCCCAGGTCTTTGACCCTTGGTGTTTTTGCTCTATTTTGTGGGCCGAAATTTGTTTTGTACTCTGATGAAGATTTAATTTCCTCATGTTTACCATATCTGAGTAATGAAATTTCTCATCGTTGAACATTCATATTGTTTTCTGGCAGCCCACTGAAAGATTGTTTGATGTCTGCCCGGAGCTTTGCAGTGTTTTCAATGGAAGACACTGTCATGCAGATTCGGGTGTCACTGCAAAGGAAGAACGGTGCTGTGGGACATCCTTGTCTATGTCGGATATAAGGATGAGGAACAAGTGGGAGCGGTACTGTGCCTTGGTGGAACGAGCTTTTCACCGTAGCTGCCTCGGACTTTACTCTGTTGACGACTACTCTCTGTGTTCTGTTTGTTAGGAAATTATAGATCCATCGACCGACTTTTCCTGTTATTCCTTTAGCACGCTTTGTGCGCTATTACGCCCTGGTCACACTTTCGAAGGCTTTTGCAAGTCTGTATATATTAACATCTGCATTCTTTTTGTCTTCTAGTGCATTTAGGACCTTGTCGTAGTGGTCCAATAGTTGAGACAGACAGGAGCGAACCTGTTCTAAACCATGTTGCCCTGGGTTGTGTAACTGATGGGTTTCTAGATGCGTGGTGATCTTGCTTCTTAGGACCCTTTCAAAGATTTTTATGATATGGGATGTTAGTGCTATTGGTCTGTAGTTCTTTGCTGTTGCTTTTACTGCCCCTTTGTGGAGTGGGGCTATGTCTGTTGTTTTTTAGTAACTGTGGGACGACCCCCGTGTCCATGCTCCCCTCCATAGGATGGAAAAGGCTCGTGATAGGGGCTTCTTGCAGTTCTTGATGAACACCAGAGTTCCATGAGTCTGGCCCTGGGGCAGAGTGCATGGGCATGTCATTTATCGCCTGTTCGAAGTCATTTGGCGTCAGGATAACATCGGATAGGCTTGTGTTAATCAAATTTTGTGGCTCTCTCATAAAAAATTCATTTTGATCTTCGACTCTCAGTCTGGTTAGCGGCTTGCTAAAAACTGAGTCATATTGGGACTTGAGTAGCTCACTCATTTCCTTGTTGTCATCTGTGTAGGACCCATCTTGTTTAAGTAGGGGCCCAATACTGGACGTTGTTCTCGATTTTGATTTGGCATAGGAGAAGAAATACTTTGGGTTTCTTTCGATTTCATTTATGGCTTTTAGTTTTCCCGCGATTCCTGACTCCTAAAGGATTCTTTTAGCTTAAGTTCGATGCTTGCTATTTCTCTGACCAGTGTCTCCCTACGCATTTCAGATATATTGACCTCTTTTAGCCGCTCTGTTATTCTTTTCCGTCGCCTGTAAAGGAGCGCCTGTCTCTTTCTGTTTTACATCTACTCCTCCTTTTTCTTAGAGGAATAAGCCTTGTGCATACATCGAGTGCTACCGAGTTAATCTGTTCTAGGCATAAGTTGGGGTCTGTGTTGCTTAGTATATCTTCCCAGCTTATATCGGTTAGGACTTGGTTTACTTGGTCCCACTTTATGTTTTTGTTATTGAAGTTGAATTTGGTGAATGCTCCCTCGTGACTAATCTCCTTATGTCGGTCTGGGGCTCCGCGCATACATGACTGAACCTCAATTATGTTGTGATCTGAGTATATTGTTTTTGATATGGTGATATTTCTTATCAGATCATCATTGTTAGTGAAGATGAGGTCTAGTGTATTCTCCAGTCTAGTAGGCTCTATTATTTGCTGGTTTAAATTGAATTTTGTGCAGAGATTTAAAAGCTCGCGTGAGTGTGAGTTTTCATCAGAGCTGCCTCCTGGTGTTATTACTGCAACAATATTATTTGCTATATTCCTCCATTTTAGGTGCCTTAAGTTGAAATCCCCCAGGAGCAAGATATTGGGTGCAGGAGCTGGGAGATTTTCCAGACAGTGGTCAATTTTTAACAGCTGTTCCTGGAATTGCTGGGATGTTGCATCCGGAGGCTTGTAGACTATCACAATGACTAGGTTTTGGTTCTCGACCTTTACTGCTAAAACTTCCACTACATCATTTGAGGCATTTAGCAGTTCTGTGCAAACAAGTGACTCTGCAATGTACAGGCCAACCCCCCCCTTTTGCCTGTTCACTCTGTCACATCTGTATAGGTTGTAACCTGGGATCCATATTTCGTTGTCCAAGTGATCCTTTATGTGGGTCTCAGTGAAAGCCGCGAACATTGCCTTTGCCTCTGCAAGCAGTCCACGGATGAAAGGTATTTTGTTGTTTGTTGCTGGCTTTAGACCCTGTATATTTGCAAAGAAGAATGTTATCGGACTGGTGGTATTGTTGGTACTGGGGGGGGATTTTTTTTTCCGGCATTAGTATCTGTATCTGTTGGTTTGGAGTGGAGGCCATCGACTGTGGTTCCACTCCAGGAATGACTGGATTTGGTGTACGATTTCTGCCATTTCCTGCCAGTTTTTTTTCCTTCCTGGCACTAAAAAAACCTCTCCCTCTTGAGTGGCTGTGGCTACCCAGGTTTTCCCATGGCCTGGATGTTTTGTATTTTTTTGTCCCCTTTAGATGGTATGCCTGGCAATTTAAGTTATAGCACAGTCTTTCCTGTACTGAAGAGGTACACAGTTCAGGGTGAAAAAGCTTACAGGAAGGGAGTTTGCATTTTCCTGTTGTCATATGGGCATGGCATTTCCTAGGGTGGTCATAGTTGCACGTCCCATCTGTTTTTCCAGATTTCCCATGCCAGCAGATACCGAGTGCATAGTATGTGCACAGGCTTGGTTTCCGTTTGCCTTGGGTTTCTGTGACTGTATTCCCTGTTGGTGCATGTTTCCCTGTCTTACTTCTATCCTCCCTAGCACCAACAATGGAGCTCCCACCATTTGTTTTTGGTAATATATCCTCACTATTGCTAGTGGAGTCCTCTTGTTTGCTATTTCCTGCGGTATTTCTAGTTTGCAATATTGGTTTTATCTTATCTTTGACTACACTTGTTTCCCTACTATGGCTCCTGTCCCCTATGAGGTCATTCATATGTATTCCTTCCTGCGTATAATTCCCGACTACCTGGACAAAATCTCCAGCTTCACCATTACTGTCTCCCAGGACAGCATCTCCAGCTTCCCCATTACTGTCTCCCAGGACAGCATCTCCAGCTTCACCATTACTGTCTCCCAGGACAGCACCTCCAGCTTCACCATTACTGTCTCCCAGGACAGCACCTCCAGCTTCCCCATTACTGTCTCCCAGGACAGCACTATCAGCCCCCATTTACTGACTACCAGGACATCATCTCCAGCCTTACAGTTTCTGAAATACATGGCCAGTATCAAGGGCAGTACCATTCAGCCCGGACTTTTTATGTTCCCATCTGTTGTAGAAAGCTTCCAGGTTTTCTATGAAAGCAGCTTTGATGTTGACCTCTTTTAATACCCTTGTGATTTTAGTCCACAGATTTATCTCATTTGGGCATACCCAAAAACACTTCCCTGTTTTAATACTGCTTGTAGCTAGTTCTTGGATATCTGCACAAGGGGCGTGACACCAATTTCCACAGAAATGACAATTTATGCATGTTATGATGAGCATTTCGGACAAATTAGATCAATTTTGTTCCCAGGATGCGATCCACACCAGTCAACTAACACCCAGGTACCTATTTGCTGGTATAAACCTTGGTAATAAATACCGACAAGTTGTGTACGAATGGTATATAATACCGACAAGATGAGATTAAGACACATGTGCAACATCTGGGTATCTTTATTGTAGACGTTTCGACATCCAGTGGCTTTATCAATACAAATTCTAGGACATAACTTGAAGACAGTAGAACTATGTACAGAAGATGAGGTAATCAGTCCCTCAACCTAGGAGTAGGTGCGAAGAGCACCATAGTCGTGGTGCTCTGCATGGGTCAGTAGGTCTGTTGCAGTGTTCCTTCTTTGTTATGTTCTTAAGTGCAACTAATGTGACATTTTTATTGTGGCAACGTTTCGCTCTCCAGGAGCTTTATCAAGCTGTTACGTAACGTTGTTACGTTGCTACAATACATTGTAACGGCTTGACAAAGCTCCTGGAGAGCGAAACGTTGCCACAATAAAAATGTCACATTAGCTGCACTTATGTACATATTGTGGGTAATTCTACCAACATTAATACAGGATTTTCTTGTTTTTGTCACTGTTCATCGTTCCCTTAACAATAACAAGCCATCCAGGGCCATTAGCAGTAAAAACATCTAAGGTGGGTGTTTTGTGCGTGTTGAATGTGTCCATTTCTCAGAGGTTCGCCTTTGCTTCTGTACTTGTGTACTTCAAAATGCGCCTTATCTGAAGTCATTCGTGGCGAAATGTTTCCTTTAATAAATGTCCTGAACTGTGCATAAGTGTCTTTTTCCACACCCAGGTACCTACTTACCGCTATGTGAACAAGGACAGCAGGTGTAAGGTAACATGCCCAATGTTTCTACCCGACTTGGGATTGAACCACGGACACGGATGCGAGAGCGTTGCCTACTAAGCCACGGGTTCGGACCAGGAATGTTGATGTGAGCCTCTTCGATAAACTAGGCACTATGCTCACCCCTATGTCTTTCAGTCGGAGAGAGATGTGCAATTACTTTCCTCCCGAGTCTCGTCCGTGTCGAGTCTTCTGGCCCTACATGGCCCCAGTACATTTACTGGGTTTTAGTTCAAGCAACTATCTGCTTGATCAATCATGCTTTTTTGTGCATGTGTGTAAGAGTTAGTCGGTTAACTGCCAGTTTTCAAAGTTACTTGACGATAGACATTTAGCTCTTTTTAGTGGAGGAGGAAAGGACGTGTCTGGGTGTGATACGGTTTAGGCAACAAGGGTCTGGCTGACCTAAGTGAGAACATTCTGGTCACGTTTCTCTTTCCGGGTGAAACTTTATTTGTATCTATAATTCCCGCCCATATTCGGACAACATATTTTCCCCGGATTCCCGGGATGCTAGATTCAATAAGGCGTAAACCTCGGTGGTCCTTACTAACCCCAACACCAACAGCGGGGACTTCAGTCTGTCCAAACTTCATCACGCTGTAAACTCTGCTTATCCTTAAGAGAAACACCTCCATAACGCTGTAATCTCCACTTATCTTGAAGAGGAATACACCATCACTAAGTATTTTTTATTAAGATGGTCAGGTTCAAGAAGAGGTAAGCCCTCGCATTTTTTATAATCATAGTGTATCATACAATTGTAATATAATATTCCAGTGAGGGTTTTTAATCTAAGAAATTAGACCTATGTGGCCATTCCTTGAATCCAAACCAGAATGCTCATGAATGTACTACTACTAATTAATAATAATTATGGGAAATTATGGGGATGAGGTTCACAGGTACATTCCTGAAATATCTCATCCACATAATTTGAAGGGGAGCACAACTAGGCAATAATTTATTGCACTTGCCAATGTTAGTTGTGCCTCAGAATTAGGTGGGATTTTAGAGACACTAGGCTGCACCATACCTCTCCTCTAAGACCTACACACACACACTTTTCCACCCACAAACAATGTCGGGCCTATCAGATATTACAACATAAAAATTAAGACCAATAATGTTGGTAAATTAAAAGATATTGAGTGGACTGTATGATGGTTTGTGACTTGAAAGGTGAGGAAGGGGGGGTCTGTTGAGTACACACCATTTTACCAAAAATATATGCACATTATATAAATAGAAAGAAAGAAAAATTTAACCTGAGCACTCATCGTTTAATTACTGGATCACAATTATTATTTGTGGAACACACCCTAACGCTACCCTAACAGCTAGAATTTACAATGGCCAATGCAAAACTACTGTACATTATGGGTAAGCATCACTTAGTTAGGGTATGCTGCTGGGAAGGAGTCCTTTATTTTTCTATCCTTGTTGCTGAATTGTAAGGGCTTTCCACACTATTTATCCCAGTTCTTCAGTGGAGAACGTGTCAGCAATTTCTAAATTACGGATTGAGGCCATTATACACCAATTTGACCTCGATGACGCCTGATTACATTACACAAAATATCACAACCGGTGTTCCCAGATTAATTCACTATGGTGTCTTTTCGTCTGTATCACTCCGTGGCCACTGCACATTCTCTTTCACACCAAATTTCTCGAAGGGTCAAATCAGCATCACATTTTAATACACAGTTATTATATTATTCATATTTACACATTCTAAATTTAGGAAAATTATAAAAAAACAATTTCATAGTACATAATTTTATCCTTCTTCAAGGGAGGTTCCGTAATGCTAATGAGAATCTTTTGATCCAAGGAACTGGGCTTGTCTTTCCCTTCCTTGGATCAAACCTGATTGCCTTCCATTCCCCAAGCACTGTATGACTCTATTGGGTACAGCTCTTCCCTGTAGATATGATGATAATGATTATAATGCATAGCAGGTGGGAAAGACTTGGAATTTATTAGGATATTGTGGTTCATTTCAATGTTTCAGCAACAAATCAGTCACTGTCATCAGGTTTCTTGAATATGACATAACAGTATACAAGCTGTAACAAGTCTCTGAAAATGTTATGCAATAAAACATTAGCAAAACTTAACAAAAATTAATGTAAGATTTCAAATCTTTCCCACTGGCAATAAATTATGCTTCTTCAAGCTTAATCATAATTCATAACTTTCCCACCTGTTATGAATTATAGTTCTTCAAGCTTAATCATAATTTTACTTAAAATAATAATGTAATACCTTTCATGCAGGTGGTTCTCCAATTTGAGTGCGCAAATTTTGCCGAAGCCCTTAATTCATTTCTACCTGCTTAAAATATTGCAGAAAATTTAATGTTTGTTTTTCTGAGTTAGGTTAGGTAAGAAATTTTTTTTTTAGGTCTTCTACACATTATTAAACTTTTACAGTAGTTTTATGTAAGAAATTATACATCTTATTATTGATGGTACAGTATACAATACCAGCAAACTGATGAATAAGATACTTGCAACACTTGGATATTTTTACTACAAATATGTTTTGCTGACACAACATGCTTCTTCAGCCAAATACGGGCAAATATAAAACTGAGAAAAAGTACAGAAGTAATTTTGAGGTGATCATTCTCTCTTTGTCTCTGTAGAAAGTGGTGAGCCCCTCAAGCCTAAAGCAGAGGCATTCAGCCACTTCTTATATATGAGCAGAAGTGAAGTACTGTATAGTGGCTATAGGTGATATTGCTGCTTAATATAATCCAGTAAGGTAAGTAGGTCATGCTAAACAGAGACTGCATGCCTCTGCTTTAAGCTTGAGGGACTGACCACTACCTGCTGTGGCTGAGGGAATGATCACCTCAAAATATATTCTACTGTCACCAGTTTTGTATTTGCCTATATCTGACTGAAGAAGTCCTGCTTTATAGGCACAATATCCATTAATATTACCATCACAGCAGAACAATCTCACACCTATCCACCACAGTGAACAGTACTGGTCACCTACTTCCCTTATTAGTTCATTATATTGATGATTTATCATATTCACAGGATTTATATAATACTGAGTTTTGTATTAATAGTATACATAACGTTTGTTTTTAGGTATTTCATTGTGGAGGTGATACCAAAAAGTCAAGCTCACATTCAACGCGAAGAGCTTCAGAGGGCAATAGTTGAAGCAGTAAAGAGACTTCATGGAGATTTTGGTGTTGCTGCAACTACTCCAGGTTTTCATGGTAATTTGGCTTTGCAGCACACAGCATTACTTTGCAGTATGAAAGTGGTTTTAAGCAATCATAGTATTGTATTAGTGTATTTCTGGAGTGATGAATAATAAGAATTTATTCTAACTGCCTATTTTTTCTTCCTGTCACCAGCAGCATTTTTCTGTGTTGCCAAGAAAGACAGCACAAGGCATGAGCTGGCTGCCTTAATCTAATTTAAATGACAATATTACTTGGATGGAGACAAATGGTTTTTAATACTTGACATGTTGTTGGAGTGTGAGCAAAGTAACATTTATGAAGGGGTTCAGGGAAACCGGCAGGCTGGACTTGAGTCCTGGAGTACAGTCCTGGGAAGTACAGTGCCTGCACTCTGAAGGAGGGGTGTTAATGTTGCAGTTTAAAAAACTGTAGTGTAAAGCACCCTTCTGGCAAGGCAGTGATGGAGTGAATGATGGTGAAAGTTTTTCTTTTTCGGGGCACCCTGCCTTGGTGGGAATCGGCCAGTGTGATAATAATAATAATAATAATATTACTTAACATACTCACCAATTTGTTTGTGGGGGGGACCAAGACTTGACTTCTGGTTGTGCCTCCTAGACTACTTTGATTGTCATCACTGACTTTGGCTGCTTGGGCCTTATACCTATTCTAGAAGCTGTGTATTGAGTTTTCATCCACCACTGCCTTATCCATATCAGTCCACTTTCCAACCACCCTAAGAATAAAAAAATATGTGGTACTTCCTTACATCTCTGGTTTATCTGCATTTTCGGCTTCTACCTGTTTTACCTTGATCCTGGTCCTCTAAATTCAAAGTCTCTCCCTACCTGCCCTATCAGTTTCTCTTCACTAGTCATTCTCCCCTATATTCAGTTCCTTCAACCTCTCCTTATACATAGTTCATTCCTCTGAGTTTTGATACTAGGGCCACATACTTTATGGTGGTCTAACATGGATCTGAAGGATTCTGTCATTCAAGCTCCTAAATGCTATTCTGAGGGTTACTCATCTTGCATATGCTTCTGTCATTGCATGGTTTGTATGTAATTCTGGCAATATTATAAGTGTTACACTCACCCCACCCCTCAAGGAAGGTTCCTTGATGTTGGTGAGGGGCTCTTGATTTAGGGAATTGGATCTGTGCTCCAGTTCCCCGAATTAAGCCTGAATGCCTTCCACATCCCACCCCCCCAGGCGCTGTATAATCCTCTGGGTTTAGCGCTTCCCCCTTGATTATAATAATAATAATACACTCACCCCAGGTACTTTTCATTCTTGGATATTTGCAACTTCTCTCCACCCATGCTATAATCAGTGTCTCGTCTGCATGACCTTGCATTTGTTTTAGTGAAACTCGAAATGCTACTCATTTGACCACATCTGCAGTCTGTTGAGGTCGGTCTCTGGTATTATTCCTTTCCAAACAGGATTATTCAAATTCTATTTTCTAAAGTTGTTCAGTTTCAGTAATAACATCTGTACAATATTTTCAGTTCCCTTTGTTAAATTCCTACATCTTTGTGTGTACATCACTTTGTGGAATTTGCCTGTTTGGCACTTTGGTTTTACTGATATTCAGGGAAAACTGGTTAGTTGGATTTTGATTCCAGGAGGTGGGAAGTACAGTGCCTGCACTCTGAAGGAGGGGTGGGGATGATGCAGTTTGGAGGGTTGTCTGAACTGTAATGTCAGTGCGTTTCTGACAAGACAGCGATTGAGTGAGTGACAGTGAAAGTGTCTTTTTCTTTATTGGATCACTCTACCTTGGTGGGAGACAGCTAGATTGTTAAAAACAGATTTTTTTTTTTAATTTTGTTATGCAATTTCTAAGAATTAGTAATGTTTAACAGTTTCCTTTCAATCTACAATTTACAGTAAAGTACTGCAACATCAAGACACGTATAGCATTTATTAGTGTAGGTCGTGGTCCACATCAGCTAGTGGCCTCAGCTCTGCCCCTCATCACCAAGATAGGAGGGCAAGCAGCTACAGTTTGCACCATACACCTGGCAGCTTCAATGAGGCATGCCTTTTTGTTTGTGAAGGTTAGTTGGATGCAAGTGGCTTGTGTGGTGAATATTTACTAACATTGTTTTCGTAAAATTGAAATAAGCATTTCATTATACGGTAGTATTAATATAATATACAGCCATACACTTTGTGCATGATAGTGATTTAGTATTTGTAGAAATTTTTGTTTTGCAAATGCTGTCCATCAGTAAACACAGGGATATTTCACTTCTAAGTACAGTAATGATAAACCAATCTTTCAAGTGCTGGTACAGCACTTATTGAAATTTAGAATGCTGAGTAATTAATGTTGAAAGGAAAATGAGGTGCATTTCAATACATTTTTTACATGTTAAGCTTAATATTCGGTTCTTGAATGACTTAGTGAATTCTTTAAATTTTATGCTTTGTATAATACAGTGGATCCCTGACTTATGATATTAATCCGTTCCAGAGAGCACATCATAAGACGAAATTATCATAAGTCGAATTAATTTTCCCCATAAGAAATAATGGAAATCAAATTAATCCGTTCAAGACACCCAAAAGTATGAAAAAAAAATTTACCACATGAAATATACATTTTCCTACACACAAAAAGGAGGATACATGCACAATATATATTGTGCATGTACTAGTGTACTAAATGAAGAATAAATGAGACTTACCTTTATTGAAGATGTAGTGATGAGTGATGAGACACTGTGTCCTGGGAGTGCCTTTTCCTCCTGAGTAATGTAGGTCCTGTTTGGCATTTTCTTCCAGAACAGGCCTTATCACACTATGTATGCCGCTATGATTCTTAAATCTTTCAAACCAACCTTTGCTGGCCTTAAATTCACCACTAGTTCCAGGTATTTTTTCCTGTTCACCTGGGTGTTAGTCAACTGGTGTGGGTCTCATCCTGGGGGACAACAGAATCTCTACAACCACGGTGTTGTAAACACCACCTCCAAGGCTGAGGGACTGAATACCTCATCTTTTGTATATAGTTCTACTGTCTTCTAATTATGTCCTAGAATCTGTATTGATAAAGCCACTGGATGGCGAAACGTCTACAATAAAGATAACCAGATGTTGCACAAGTGTCTTAACTTTCATTAAGGACCCCAATGGAAATAAGTTAGTCCTCAATGACACACTGACTTTCTTGGGTTATACTGGGTGGCTAACCTTCTAGGGTTAATTGTTTCTTGGTATTCTCGATAAGCCTATGGTGGCTTATTTAGCAGTTACAAGCACTAAAAACACTGGAATAATACAAAATTTATCAAATATATGCGTGCAACCGTCCGCCCTGGCTTGTAAACAATGTCACACTAGCTCAGCTGAGGCGCTCAGGCCAGATGGACCAGACAGCTGCCTTCGGGACGAATGATGTAAGTCGAGTTTTTCAGCGTAGGTCGGGGTCAAATTTTTACGCTGACAAGCATCGTAAGTCAGTTTTATCATAGGTTGAGGCCATCGTAAGTCGGGGGTCCACTGTATATGTGAAATAATCACATACCCCTGTGCATAAACAATACAATTTATTTGCAAAAATGTTTCTCATTTTAAGATGAATGGAGTGTAAAGTTGTATATTATTGGAAGTTACAGAATATCGAAGTAAGAGCAGTTCCTGTATTTAAATTTGTATAAATGTCAAATGTCTTAGGCATTTGACCCTTTCGTTGTTCATGCCATAGTACTGTGTCATGAGCTCAGCTTACTCAGATAAGCTGCGAGCAGTAAATTTGGGCCTAGATATGAGAGACTGGGCCTATACAGTAAGGGTGCACCATAAAAAAAAAAAATCTGCAGCACATAGTGCTTTATGAGAAAAAATGCAAGTGTTTTTGGTTTATGAATTTGTGGTGTATTTTTGTATAGCTTTTATGATTGTATTTTTGGTTTCTTGGTCTCATTTGATAGAATGGAAGATATATTACAGAAATAGAGATTATTTTGATTGGTTTCAAAACTGAAAATAGCTTGAAATTGAGTTCAAAGTAGCGGAAATGTTTGATTTTTGCCGATATTTAAAAGTAAACAGATCATGGCACTTGTCCAATACACATCCAACTGGTAGGTCTAATATGCATTCATAAATGCGCTGATATTATTTATGGAATTATTACAATATTGCAGGACAGTAAATCTTTTATCTTTTTGTGTGAATAAAAATTCTTTGTGTGAATAAAAAATCAAAATGGAATTCATATGTAAAGCCTGGAAATGTAACTAATAAACAGAGGAAATGTTATTTTAGTGCCAGGAATGCCTGCATTGTTTATTCTGGACCCTATTTTGAAATTTGTGTGAAATTGGCCAAATTACCAATTTCTGATCACTTTATTGGGTAATTGAAATACGTAGTTGATTGGGCAGTTTCTTGTATTCAGTTGATAAAATGGAAGACATACTAGCAAAATAGCTAGTATGCCTGGAACAGTGTAATTGGCATACAATAGGATTCAAAGTGGGCAAAATCACAGATGCATAAATATCGCTGGCATGGCAAAATTTGTGAAAGCATAATTTCGTCAGTTTTCCATAAAATTTCGTACTTTTTGTTTTATTTACTTAAGAAAAAGATTCTTTACCATTTCATAATTTTTTTTTTTTTTTTTTTTTTTTTTTGAAAATTCTTGGATGCTGCAGGTAAGTTTCAGATTAGGAGTCTGGACAATGAAAGGGTTAAGCTGAGAGATTTTGAAAATTTGAGCACTTGTATTTGTTTTGTGTTGTACAGGAATGTCTACAAAAGTAATTATGGCATTTTGTTGAATGCTTGTATACTCTGTGTAGCAATCTAAATCGAGGATTTTTTTTTTTTTGACGTGCATTAAATATACCAGTACAGTAAATAATAATTGATGGTTACGGTCTGCAATAAAAGTCATATATATATATATATACAGTGGACCCCCGCATAACGATATTAATCCGTTCCTGAGAGCTCATCGTTATGCGAAATTATCGTTATGAGAATGAATTTTCCCCATAAGAAATAATGAAAATCAAATTAATCCGTGCAAGACACCCAAAAGTATGAAAAAAAAATTTTTACCACATGAAATATACATTTTCCTACACACAAAGAGAAGGATACATGCACAATAGTAGAGTAGTACATGCACAATATATATTGTGCATGTACTACTCTACTAAATGAAGAATAAATGACACTTACCTTTATTGAAGATGCAGCAATGACTGATGAGACACTGTTTCCTGGGAGTGCCTTTTCCTCCTGAGTAATGTAGGTCCTGTTTGGCATTTTCTTCCAGAACAGGCCTTATCACACTGTGTATGCCACTACGATTCTTAAATCTCTCAAACCAACCTTTGCTGGCTTTAAATTAACCAATATGAACACTAGTTCCAGGCATTTTTCCCTGTTCACCTGGGTGTTAGTCGACTGGTGTGGGTTGCATCCTGGGAGACAAGATTAAGGACCCCAATGGAAATAAGTTAGACAGTCTTCGATGACACTGACTTTTTTGGGTTATCCTGGGTGGCTAACCCTCTGGGGTTAATTGTTTCTTGGTATTCTCAATAAGCCACACCAACAACGGTGCTACAGCAGCAACAGCAGCAGCAGCTGACAGTGCTACAGCAGCAGCAGCAGCAGCTGACAGTACTACAGCAGCAGCTGACAGTGCTACAGCAGCAGCAGACGGTGCTACAGCAGCAGCAGACAGTACTACAGCAGCAGCAGCAGCAGCTGACGGTGGTACAGCAGCAGCAGCAGCTGACGGTGCTACAGCAGCAGCAGCAGCTGACGGTGCTACAGCAGCAGCAGCTGACAGTGCTACAGCAGCAGCAGCAGCAACTGACAGTGCAGCAGCAGAAGCAGCTGACAGTGCTGCAGCAGCAGCAGCAGCTGACAGTGCTACAGCAGCAGCAGCAGCAGCAGCTAACAGTGCTACAGCAGCAGCTGACAGTGCTACAGCAGCAGCTGACAGTGCTACAGCAGCAGCAGACGGTACTACAGCAGCAGCAGTAGCTGACGGTGGTACAGCAGCAGCAGCAGCTGACAGTGGTACAGCAGCAGCAGCAGCTGACAGTGCTACAGCAGCAGCAGACGGTGCTACAGCAGCAGCAGATGGTACTACAGCAGCAGCAGCAGCTGACGGTGGTACAGCAGCAGCAGCAGCTGATGGTGCTACAGCAGCAGCAGCATCAGCAGTTGACCATGGTACCACAGTATTTCGATAATATTTCTCACCCTTTTTACCACAGGGTTGGCACTAGAAGCTTTCTTGGGGCCCATGGTCACTTATTTTGCAGATAAAATCACCAAAAACGCTGTAATAATACGAAATGTTCCGATTGTATGCTTGGATGTTACCGTGGAGGCTGGCTTGTAAACAATGCCACCAGCGGAACATGTGAGGCTGGCTCAGGCCGCACATTAGACGCGTCTCGGACGAATAGCGTTGAGCGGGTTTTTTAGCGGTATGCGAGGCAAAATCTTAGCGATAAAATGTATCGGTATGCGGATTTAACGTTATGTGATGCCAACGGTATGCGAGGGTCCACTGTATTATGAATTAATCACAAGGATTTATTATCTCAAGATATATTGTACAGTAAATAAACCATATATGTACAGTGGAACCTCGGTATAGGACCAGCTCCCTGCTCGAACAAAGCTCAGCACTCGGCCAAACAAATATGACCTGCCAGAACTTCACTGTAAATTATTTTGTGTTTCTTTGCATTTTTTGGTGCATTTTTGTATTGTATGACTAAGTCATACAATACAATTGCTATGACAATTAGTGATTTTAGATTTTTAGATTTTGTCACTGAGGTGGCTAGTTTATTGTGCACCCCATATCCATCCTGTGGTCGGTAGCGCAAGAGCATATCGATACACAAAAGGCCTAGGAACTAGGCCCCAAAAGGATTAACAGGTATACATATGGGTTTATATCTACAGTTCACTTATCTGTTACAGGCAAATTTAGGAAATTTACTTAGTATATCTGATATCTTATTTTCATTAATAAGATATCTTGATATGTCACATAGGTTATTATGCTGGTTCTGTATTCCTCAATAAGTGGACAATTAAGCACATAGTGTTCAAGACAGTGACCATATGCCTGATCACATAATTTGCATTTAGTTTGATAATCATCTGTGTCTCCCAGACTGCCAGAAGTACTTGTAACCAAGCCTAAGCCTGGCCACTACAATATCAGTCAGTCTTTTCCCCCTTTACAAGTTGCTCCATAAATGTACTTATCTACGTTCGTGTTATCATAGTGGGTTATAGACCTACTCGGGTTTCTAACTGCATTCCTATAACAATAATTTTCATTATTTACTTCTCTCCTAATATTATTCCAAACAAACAGAAAATTGGTTGGGAAGAACTTGTTTGATACTCAAAGCGGCACTTGAACAGCCTTCTGGAATGAATTAAGGTCGCATACCGAGGTTCCACTGTACAACGTTACTTTTTAAAACTACCTTTCATATTTATCTTCATCTCACATTGTACAGTACTTATATGATGAGCTGATAAAATGTGTCCATAGCATTTTAGTATAGTATGCAATGATTCATTGTTTTAATTCATTATTCATTGAGATAGGATGGTAGAGACTCAAATGTGCAACCCTAGATCAAAAGTAAATGGATAATTTTTAGAAAAAAAAAATAAATATACATTATGCCATATTATTCATTTCAGAGATACCATGAAGAAAAAATAAAGAAACTAGAAGAAAGCCTGACTTCTGCTGAGATGAACCACTGGAAGCAAGAAAAGGATCGAATACTAAGTCGCAGATGATATATATATATATATACTACAGTATTTTCCTCTGAAAATTTGCTGTCATCTTTCAAAGCAATTAATGTGAAATAATGAAAATGAAGAGAAGTAATGATGGCTAACTTCAGTGTTGCACTAGTCAGTAACACTTCCTTTTAAATTCATCAGAAGTAATGAGAGTTACTGCAGTATAAGTAAATGGCTTAAATATTTAACTGTTTGCAGTTAAAGCTGTAAAGTTATTAGATAATTAGCTTATGACAGTTTTTTCCATTTGTTACATTGCCTTTGGAGATTCAGTAAAGTTTTTGATGTACACTCTTAATGTTGTGCACACCTTAAATAGAACCGTGTTAAAGATATCCTAAATAGTTTTTGTAATATAGTTTAATTTTTTTTTAACATGTCGTCCATTTCCCACTGAGGCAGGGTGACCCAAAAAGAAAGAAAAAAAACAAAAATATAGTGTCATAAAGAAAAGATTCTAAAAAAAAAAAAAAAATTCTGTCCTAACTAAAAGAACTTGTAACAAGGATTGTTTTAAAGTCATATCATTCAATAGATTTATTATTATTATAATCAAAAAGAAGTGCTAAGCCATCAATAGATTTATAAATTGATATGTTTACAAACAATGTAATGCATTCAGTAGCATATAATTTGAAATATACATGTGATATGATTGGGTCTGTTATGATTCCTAAAAAATTAAGAAATTTTATAGAGAATTTATTAGCTACCACCACATTTTATGGCACAGCTGTAGAATTCTTTTTATAAAAAGCACTTGATTCTTAATTCCATGGAACAGTGAAGGACAAAATTTAGCAAGGAAGGAATGCATCTTGGTTTATTAAAGGCCAAAAATATTAGTATGTGTGTGAAGGAATCATCATGTGATAGTATCCTCTTTTCCATTTGGAAAAAGGGTTTAGTGCTTTCTTGGTGAATGTTAAATTAAGAATACTAAGTAATGGTAGGGAAATATGGGCATGGCAAACACTAAACTTCAGGCTGCTGATTTTAAGGAATACAGGCGATAGAAAAGGTGATTATTCATGTAAAGTGATAACCCTGTAAGTCACTCAGTGCTACACAACAAGTGAGGGTAGAGGGGTAAAGTGGTAGTACTATTAAGGGAAGTAAATTAGTAGAAGGGATGGTGGGGAAGGTCACAGTTTATGTAACAAAGTGATTTCAGTTAAATAATACCAAATCTGCATTAACCCTTTGAGGGTTTCGGCCGTACTAGTACGGCTTACAACCCAGGGCTTTTGACGTACTAGTACGCCTAAATTCTAGCACCCTCAAATCTAGTGGGAGAAAGCTGGTAGGCCTACATATGAAAGAATGGGTATATGTGGTCAGTGTGCACAGTATAAAAAAAAAATCCTGCAGTACACAGTGCATAATGAGAAAAAAAAAAAAATTGTGTTTTTGGAATAGAACAGCGACTTTGCACTGTTTTTTCGTATGGTATATATTATTGTATTCTAGTTTTCTTGGTCTCATTTTATAGAATGGAAGACATATTACAGAAATTGAGATGATTTTGACTGGTTTTACAATGAAAAGTACCTTGAAATTGAGCTCAAAGCAGCAGAAATGTTCGATTTTTACCAAAGTTCAAAAGTAAACAAATCATGCCAAGCGTCCAATACACATCAACTGGTGAGTCTAATATTCTTTCACAAGTGCGCTGATATTATTTATACCATTTCTACACTAATGCAGTAGTCTGCATAACAGTAAATCTTCTATTTTTTGTAAGAAAAAAATTGAAAGTGGAAAGCCAAAGAAATATAAGAGGGGCCTGGGGATGTGACTAACGAACAGAGGAAATGTTATTTTAGTGCCAGGAATGTCTTTCTTGTTTATTCTGGACCCTATTTGGAAATTGGCATCTTTTGGAATTTGTGTGAAATTGGCAAAATTGTTAAATTCTGACCACTGTATTGGATAGTTGAAATCAGTAAATGGGTGGTTTCTTGTACTCATTCAATAGAAAAAATGGAGTTCTAGAGAAATAGTTATGATTTTTGTCAACTAGTACACAGGAATTGGCCAAAAATAGGGCTCAAAGTGGGCAAAATTGCCGATGCGTAAACATCGTTGAGACCGCTAACTTCGCAAGAGCATAATTCCGTAAGTTTTCCATCAGATTTCATACTTTTGGTGTCATTATGATCGGGAAAAGATTCTCTTTTCATAAAAATAATTTTTTTTTTTTAAATTTGGCCGACCCTGAGAACAAGTCTCGGAGAGGGCCTGTCGACCCTCCAAGGGTTAAATTATTATTATTATTATTATTATTATAATAAAAAAGAAGCGCTAAGCCAAGCTCCAAGGGCTAAAGATGGGACCACCAGAGAAAAATAAAGTATATCACTGTGATAAGGCTCCCATTCTTTCTGATGAACAAAACAATATGATAGGCTGATTTGTCAAAAACCCTGACAATGCTACCCCAGGTGTGGGTCAAGAGAAATGTTCTGACAGTGTTCGGTTATTTTCTGAATCATTGGACTTGGTCTGACATTTGTCCTGTATGGAAAAGATCATCCACATCAGGACCTCTTTTTTTTCATTGTTCCCAAGACATGAGCTGCCCATCCCAATTTATTGCGTTCATTCACTCGTCATTTAGTCTCCAACTTTCCCTGGATTTACTGTGTTTTGTGAGACTTTACTTAATACATTAATAAAGGGCAATTAACGATGGCTTCTAAACCAAGTGGGGAGTGCCAAGAGAAAATGTGTGATTCTCAGTATTAAGCAGAAATTTGAACTAATACAGAAGGTATGTCAGGAATATGATGTTAAGACATTGCCTGATGTCCACAAGAGCCTAATCAGTAAATCTGTCCTTGCGTATAAGTTTAGTGGTAATGCTACCCATAAAGGTTCATCAGCTAGTCCTAGAAAGCATACAAAAATGGCCCATGATGAAAAGCTATAAATGGCAGTACATAAATGGCATATTCAACAATGTTCTCTTGGTGTTAATGTTCATGGTATTGATCTTCAATCTGCTTCTCATAGGCCAGCAAAGCATATGAAAGTAGAGCATAGCTATCTATGTCTTCTCAGCTACTATATATCACTGTAGTTTACACCTCTCTCCACCACAAAAAAGGTAAGTAAAATTACTGTAAATTATGTACTTTAAAATTACTATACAGTACTGTACTGTAGTACTACAGGTTACAATACTCATATTCTTGGCATGTTGCATTTGTAATGATTGTGAAAAATTAATTTCACAACTTTAAATCCATGAACAAATGGCAAAAACATACACCCCCTCCCCCCTATTAGTCCATTACTTTAACTGTAACATTTCATTCTTACCATACTATACATGTATTTTGTACTAGTAATTCATATTTCTATATGCCCAAACCTTGGCACACCATCATACTTAAAATACTCTTGAAAGTTCATATATTTCTTAATGAGGGCAGGATTTTTGAAGTGTTGTCATTTGCAATTTATCTTTAGTTTTTACAACAGTCTACTACATTCATTGCTCAGTCCCCTAATACTTCATTCAATTTCCTTAAAATTGTGTGGCACTCATTTATTCCATAATGGCATCTACAGTTAATGCTATTAAACAAACCTTATCTGCCTAAGACAAATTAATCTGTAAATTTAATTTTAATATTTCATACCTCTATTTTTAGTTATTTCTTGGTTTGTATTCTTCAAAAAAATTCAGGTACAAATCTTCATCAAAATTATAAATATAATTATTATTTTTTTAACACACCAGCTGTCTTCCCTTCAGGCAGGGTGATTTGAAAAAGAAGAAATACTTCCATAGTCACTCATTCAATCACCGTCTTCCCAGAAGTGTGCCAACATTAGATTTCAGATGGCCCTCTGAACTGCAGCATCTCCACTCCTCCTCCAGAATGCAGATGCTGTATTTCCCACCTCCAGGACTCAAGTCCAGGTAACTGGTTTCTCTGAATCCCCTTTATAAATGTTACATTACTGGCACTCAACAACACATCAAGTCATAACAGCCACTTACTTCCACTCCTATCTAATGTGTTCACACAAGTATGTTAGATGTCCAAGCTCCAAGCAGTCAAAGCCTTTACCCCTTTCCTGAAACCTTTCCTATAATGACCCCTTTTTCTTTCCACCCCAGATTTTTAACTCCTCCTAGTCATCCTATTTCACTACATCCTCTCTAAACATCAAAACCACCTTAACAACCCATTCTTAGTCCTCTAGATATTCAACAGACTTATTCCTCCAATAATTCTTACACTCTCCTTTATCCCCTTTTCCTTATAAGGTGTAAAGAACCTATGCATTCTTTATGCCAATCCCTAAGTACTCTTCCCCCTTTCATGCATATATTGAATATACTAACTACACCAATACTGTTTTCCACCTACTTTTAACATCTGTCTTGATCTAATGTATCCCAGTTACTTTATCCTGTTTCATTCTAACTGCTGCCTCACACTTTTCTCACACTTGCATCTGGCTCTACCTCCAACATGTTATATGTCCCTGCCCAACACATGAAATTATTGCCTCTCTTTCATCAGCATTTAACAATTCTTCAAAATATTCCCTCTCTCTTCCCAGCATCTCCACCTCCCACCTAATATCTTCCTTCTTGTTTTCAACTGCTAAATTCATTTGCTTCCTAGGCACTCTGAAGTTTATTAATCTCAAAATTTTTTCTTATTCTCTTGCTAATTTGTTAATAAAACTTCACCCACACTTTCATTAGCTACCTTCTGCACTCCCTTTCCATTCTTTTAATTTTTTTTTTTTCAACAAGTCGGCCGTCTCCCACCGAGGCAGGGTGACCCAAAAAAGAAAGAAAATCCCCAAAAAGAAAATACTTTCATCATCATTCAACACTTTCACCACACTCACACATTATCACTGCTTTTGCAGAGGTGCTCAGAATACAACAGTTTAGAAGCATATACGTATAAAGATACACAACATATCCCTCCAAACTGCCAAACAGGCATTGTACTTCCCATTTCCAGGACTCAAGTCCGACTATATGAAATTAATTAACCTCTCTAAATCTCCCTATAGTCCACTCTCTGTATATCACATCTATATCAAAAAGCCTCTCATAATGCTAATTTTTCTCCCTAACCCTCTTTACCTTGTCATTCCACCAACTGCTCTTTGTCTGGTACCCATTCTCCTGTATCCACAAACTTCTGCTGCACCCTCTAACACTGAATTCTTAAATCTACCCCAAAATAATTTTTTTTCCAATAGTTGCTTATATCTTGTCCCATCTCCTTTATTTTTCTCTACACACTTACACAGTGATAAATAAAATGAAATGATCAAATGAGGTGTTAGACCCAAAAGGGTCATACAGCACAGCAGGTAGGAATGTACAATAGGTTACCCACTTACAACATTCTCTTTGTACCCAATCTACCTCTTACTTTCACTGTAGTTAACACTAAATAATGATCTGATACATCTCTGACCCCTCTAAAAACATGCACTTTCAGAATTCTACTTACCAACCTTTTATCTGTTAATTCATAGTCTAACAAAATGCTATCATTACACCCTATATCATATCTCATGTAGTTTGGAAATTAGGAGGAGGTGCAGGATTACCAAAACTATTATCCAAAGGGCTGAGGAAGGGTTGAGGTGGTTCAGACATGTAGAGAGGATAGAAGGAAATACAATGACTTTGAGAGTGTATAAATCTATAGCGGAGGCAAGGTGGGGTAGGGGTTGGCCTAGGAGTGGTTGGAGGGAAGGGGTAAAAGGAAGTTTTGTGTGTGAGATTCTTAGACTTCCAGCAAGCATGTGTGAGCATGTTAGATAGGAGTGAATGGAGACAAATGGTTTTTAGGGCTTGATGTGCTATTGGAGTGTGAGCAAGGTAACATTTATGAAGGGATTCAGGGAAACTGACAGGCTGGACTTGAGTCCTGGAGATGGGAAGTACAGTGTCTGCACTCTGAAGGAGGGGCATTAATGTTACCGTTTTATAACTGTAGTGTAAGCACGCCTCTGGCAAGACAGTGATGGAGTTAATGATGATGAAAGTTTTTCTTTTTAGGGCCACCCTGCCTTGGTGGGAGACGGCCGATGTGTTAATATAAAAAAAATTCATCCCTTTTCTTAAAGTATTATTACCAAACCTCTTTCTATACATGGTATAATTCAAAGTTACCTATTACTTTCTTGTATATCAGGTTTACCCATTTTAACATTTAGGGCTCCCCACAACCATTATTTCAATTATTTCTCCCTTGTTGAAAACTCCCTAAGCATTCACTTAATGTCTCCCAAAATCTCTCCTCTACACATCTCTCCCCCACCATTTTTCTAATCTACATAATTCTTGAATTTAAACATCTATATCCTCCCCTCTTCTCCTTCCATGGTTAATCATTTAATATTGCAGCTACCCCATTTTTTTAGCTCTAGTTCTCCTAGATACACCCAATTTAACCTTCATTGACTTCCCCCACTGAAATTTTTCCATTCTCTTTAGCTTTGTTTTGCTTAGAGTCAGGACATCTGGCTTCTCTTCATTCATAACAATCAGCTCTAATCTGTATTACATCCACACTCATTCACACAACCCAACTTCAAAATTTAATTTTTTTTTATAATTTATATAGAAGAGATTACTAGCCTCTTGTTCCTGACATTGTAGTCATATTTAATAATATGCATTGTTTAAGGAGAAAGCACTGTACTCCTTTACCATGGAAAATACACTAAGATCAATCCAATTATAATATATAATGCATTATCCTAAGTACGTAGTACTGTATACAGTATAATTCAGGTTTAAGCTACATAAACTCCATACACCAAAGCTATCTTAGGTACAATCTAACTCATTGTCAAGGGTGCCAGTAGCTCTGTCAAGAAGTTCTTTTAAAGCAGGTGGCAGCTGTGTCTCAGATGGAGCATCCTTTCGCCACATATTGAAACCTTCCTTTCCGCTCACTCTCTTTACTTTTGAATCCTTTGAGGGACTTCCTTTAACCTTTATCTTGCCTTTTCCAAAATCATTCTGCCATTCTTGGAGAGCTACATCAAGGTTATCATTATCACTATCATAATCACTTATATTAAGGTCAAAGCTATCATCATCATCTTCATTTTCACTTGTGTTTTTTACCTCTAGTTTATTTATAGGTTCTGCCTCTTTGGCTTCCTCATTTCCTACTCTTGGACGTTTTGATGTGACTTTGCTATCTTCATTTTTGCTTGAAGCTCTGGAAGAATCACTCACATTGTTTTCTATACTTTCTTTATGAAGTTTGTTATTTGAGGTATCACTTACATCAGTGCTTACTTTACTTTCATTTCCATATTTATTACTTGAGGTATCACTTGCATCACTGCTTACTTTACTTTCTTTACTGTGTTTGTTACCTACTGTTTTTCTCTTGAGCTGAACTTCTCTGATGTACGAGTCTAATTTGTCAATTGGTATTATTTCTTCAATAACATCCTCAGAATTAACATATGCCGATAATTTTTTATCATCAACATTCTGCACATTTATTTCTTTAGATGGCACTCCATTAATTGCTAATGATTCATTATTTCTAGTTTTGTCTCTATTAACCACATTTGGTGTTACTGAAGACCTTCTTAGATCATTAGAGATAGCAGTGTGCAAAGGCATGGTGACCTCTCCAGTATCACAAACTGACTCAATAACAAACACAGCTTTTCTATCATGTTTGGTGAAAGTGGTTTCATCAACTGGAAAACTTGGGTTTTCACCCTTACTACTGCACTGGACTCTTGCTGCTACACTGCAATTTGTCATTACTTTGATATTATCATTTGAACAGTTATTAGTAGAATCTAGCTGTACTCTGTTCTTTGAAACCTCCAAGATACTTTCGCAGTTTCTGCTACAATTTTCTCCATTGCCAGTAAGCTTTTCTTTTAAATTATCAATTTCCTTATTAAATCCATCACTGCACTTTCTCCTTTCTACTGGCTCATGTCCTGAACTTATCACACAAAATATTTTTGCAAGACGAGGGTCCTGGATTATCTCCTCTTCACTGTACTTCACTATAGGTCCTGCTGGTGGGTTGTAACCATCCATAAGACCCAGTGAAGCTAATTGTAGCTCCGGAATACTAATTCCAGTGCTTGCACCATGGTTTTCCATTTTTGCATCTTCTGGGCTTCCAATAGTAGATAATCTTCTTTCCAACTCTGATATTCTTCCCACCAGTACCCTGTTGAAAAGATTGTACATGGTATTAGGTAAGGCACTACAAATGCCATTTTTTTTTTTAACATGCTGGCCATCTCCCACCAAGGTAGGGTGACCCCAAAAAAAAAAAAAAAAACTTTCACCATCATCCACACTATCACTGTCTTTGCAGAGGTGCGCAGATACGACAGTTTAGATGTCACTCTAAACAACAAATGTCCCAAACCCCTCCTTTAAAGTGCAGGTACTGTACTTCCCACCTCTAGGACTCAAGTCCGGCTAACCAGTTTCCCTGAATCCCTTCACAAAATATTACCCTGCTCACACTCAGCAGCTCGTCAAGTCCCAAAAACCATTTATCTCCAGTCACTCCTATCTAACACACACACACATTCCTGCTGTATGCCCAAGCCCCTTGCACACAAAACCTCTTTTACCCCCCTCCCTCCATCCTATCCTAGGATGACCCCTACCCTCCTTTCCTCCACTACAGCTTTATACACCTTCCAGGTCATTCTATTCTGCTCCGTCCTCTCTATATGAGCAAACCACCGAACAACCTCTTCTCAGCCCTCTGAATAATACTTTAAGTAACTCCACACCTCCTAATTTCCACATTATGAATTCTGTGTAATATTTATGCCACATATTGCCCTTAAACACAACATCTTCACTGCCTCCAGCCTCCTCCTCGCTGCAGTATTCACAACCCATGCTTCACATCCATATAAGTGTTGGTACCACTATACTCTCATGCATTTCCTTCTTTGCCTCCATGGATAATGTTCTTTGTCTCTACAGATACTAATTATCATTTTAAAAAACAGTATATTTAAATTTTTAATATATCAAAATAACAAGATGTTTAAAGATATTATGGGTTGTGTTTTACATGAAGTCTTGTTATAACTGTAATGCTAAAGTTTTTTTTTTAACATGCTGGCCATCTCCCACCAAGGCAGGGTGACAGTATTGCCCTGTTTTAAAATAATTCTGATTCACTTGTATGTTTAACCAATGGTACCAAATCTATGATCTCTTCCTAACTTCCCAGAGTTTTGTCCAACAGCATGATGCTCTTTCCTTGGGAAACTAGAGCAAAGTAGTATTCCTCTAAAACTTAAGAGCCTCCTTTACCCCACTTCTACCTATCACACCAGATTTATACACAATATTCATCATCCTATCCCTCTCCAGCCTCTTTACATATGTGAAAACCACCTTAACAACCCATCCTCAACCCTTTGAATTATATCCTTGGTGACCCCACATCGCTTTCTAATTTCTACTCTCCATCTCTGCATGATATTCGTATAACATATTGACATCTCTGCTGCTTCTAGCTACTGCCTCCTCCTTGCTGCAGCATTTAAAACTCATGCCTCACACTCCTATAAAAGTGCTGGTACCACTATACCCTGATACATTCTCTTTTTTGTCTCCATAGATAAACTTCTTCCTTTCAACAGGCACTTCAACACACCAATGACTGTTTTCCTTCTAATCTATTCTTTGGTTCACCTCATCTTTCATGGACCCATCTGCTAGCATGTTCACTCCCAAATATCTAAATACATCCAGTTCCTCCATATTCCCTCCCTCCAATTCAATATTCAGTCTAGCTGTAAGCTACTCCCAGCCCTTCTTGGAACTGCTGTAGGACCTCTATGAGTATAAGGCTTCTTAACGAGTATAATAATACTATAATAGTAATAATAAATAAATAATGATACCAGGCAAGACACAATAAATTTTTAACCCTTGATTACCATTGAAATCTATAAATTTATTTTATAATGAGCTGGTGGGTTTAATACTGAAACAGTGTTATTGGCTCAAAGCAGATGTAAAGATAGCTATACTTACAATGGTTTCACAAGCCTAGGAGGGCTAATACTATGCTTATCAGTGTATGATGCTGTTACTGTATAGAAAAAGGCTTTAATCTATATACAAGCAGGTGCTGATGAGTTCATTAGAGAGAAACTTACTTGTTGGCAGAACGTTGAGTTCTAAGTGCTCGAGATCGCTGGTTAAGAGCATCAACAAGGGCTACACATAAAGATTTCAGATCACTCTCTGCTGCACCTCCAACCTCCCCACGGTAGTCGTGAAGTAACTCACCAACTAAAAAAAAATAGAATACTGCACAATGATATTTTGAAAAACCTTTGTGAAAGTAATCACTATTAAGCATTTGGAGAAAATCTTGAAAACACTCATGAGTGTGTTTTTGTACAAAGAACTGGTTTTCTTCTGCATTACCAGGTAATACAGTTTCCTTAGATTATGTACATTCAGTAGCAAGTTCTAAATTCTTGTATTCAGAATTCTCCAAAATAAAACACTGAATTCAAATGAACTGAAATTCGTAAAATTTCAAGTTTTAAAGTTCTAAATTTTAATCTTTTCTTTTTTCAAATACACCTACCATCCGACTTACAACCTGCTCGACTTACGACCGTGTTTTTTATGCCAAATTTCTGGGTAATTAACAACTACACCTACCATCCGACTTACGACCTGCCCGACTTGCGACCACTCGACTTACGACCATGTTTTTTATGCCAAATTTCTGGGAAATAAACAACTATTTGTGTCGTACACAGTGTTTATCCTAAACCTTACAGTATAAAATACAGTACTAACAACATAAAAACTAAAGTAAAACATGAAATACCAAAATAAAACAATAAAATAAAGTCATTACAAAAATGTTTTGTTGATATTCAGTAGTAAAGTTCGACTTACAACCATTTCGACTTACGGCCGGTTTCTCGGAACCGAACTCGGTCGTAAGTCGGATGGTAGGTGTACAATAATCTTTCACTGAATCTTTAGGATAGCTCAAATAGAGATTTCCCATTCCCATTACTGCATTTTATACTAAATTTTATACTATAATGATAAGCTAGAAATTCCTGTTAAGAAAGCTGTTACAGCTGTTAACTGAATTAAGCAATCCTATAAAATTGTTACGATAACTACCAAGACACATTAGTATACAGTAAGTGTAGTATGACCTATCCCACATGACAGCCTAGGTTAGGAGAGTTGGAAGGATAGTTGTAAGCAGCAATCTACACAGGCCTCTGAAAGACTGTGTAATCCTGTAAGTCTTGTAATGAACTGGTTAGTTATGCAGAGTTTTCTTACACACAGACCAGTAAGTAGAATGAACTTGTGAACTCTACGAAAGTACAATAAAAATGTGGCAAGGGACTGAAATGGAGCGAGATGCTAAGGGAGACACTGAAGATGTTGGCAATTTTGAAAAATCTGTTGCTTGTATTCAACACTATTTTTTGGAGGGATAGGTGAGTAAGAATTTACACTGCCCTTCAACCAGGACAACAAGAACACTTACCCTTTCAACATAAATAGATTACAATAGTTACATTCAGTATTCTTACACTCAGACTCTGCAGAGCATCTTAAGTAAATACTGTACTATTAAGGAAAGATTTAATTATTGTTAGCAATGTAATTTAGTAAAGTGACAAGACTGTACTATAATTAGCAAATATTGTGCACAGGTATAGGCAAGTAAGTAATCAGGTGTTTTTCTGTACAAAAGTTTTTATTAAATTTTTTATCATAGTTAATTTATAGCAGATAAAATGGCTGCATATGTAATTAATATATTTAAATTAAAGATGCAAATAAAAAGAACTACCAATGACCCAAGGCTCATAGTGTACTTAACTAGACTGCAAGCGTATCATATGACAAATAATGTAGATGAAGTGAAGGCATGTTAAGTAATAACAATAAAATTATTTTGGAGAAAAGAGAGTACAAGTAATACATTTGGATATTGTATTAATGAATATTTTGAGGAACTTTTAAATGTCGACGAAGAAAGGGAGGCGGTAATTTCATGCACTGGCCAGGGAGGTATACCATCTTTTAGGAGTGAAGAAGAGCAGGATGTGAGTGTGGTGGAGGTACGTGAGGCATTTTGTAGAATGAAAGGGGGTAAAGCAGCTGGAAATGAGGGGATCATGACAGAAATGTTAAAAGCAGGGGGGATATAGTGTTGGAGTGGTTGGTATTTTTCTTTAATAAATGTATGAAAGAGGGGAAGGTACCTAGGGATTGGCAGAAACGTGTATAGTCCCTTTATATAAAGGGAAGGGGGACAAAAGTGATTGTAAAAATTATAGAGGAATAAGTTTACTGAGTATACCAGGAAAAGTGTACGGTAGGGTTATTGAAAGAATTAGAGGTAAGACAGAATGTAGAATTGCGGATGAGCAAGGAGGTTTTAGAGTGGGTAGGGGATGTGTAGATCAGGTGTTTACATTGAAGCATATATGTGAGCAGTATTTAGATAAAGGTAGGGAAGTTTTTATTGCATTTATGGATTTCGAAAAGGCATATGATAGAGTGGACAGGGAAGCAATGTGGCAGATGTTGCCAGTATATGGAATAGGATGGTAAGTTACTAAATGTTATAAAGAGTTTTTATGAGGATAGTGAGGCTCAGGTTAGGGTGTGTAGAAGAGAGGGAGACTATTTCCCAGTAAAAGTAGGTTTTAGACAGGGATGTGTAATGTCACCATGGTTGTTTAATATATTTATAGATGGGGTTGTAAAAGAAGTAAATGCTAGGGTGTTCGGGAGACGGGTGGGATTAAATTATGGGGAATTAAATACAAAATGGGAAGTGTCAGTTACTTTTTTCTGATGATACTATGCTTATGGGAGATTCTAAAGAAAAATTGCAAAGGTTAATGGATGAATTTGGGAGTGTGTGTAAAGGTAGAAAGTTGAAAGTGAACATAGAAAAGAGTAAGGTGATGAGAGTGTCAAATGATTTAGATAAAGAAAAATTGGATATCAAATTGGGGAGGAGAAGTATGGAAGAAGTGAATGTTTTCAGATATTTGGGAGTTGACGTGTCAGCGGATGGATTTATGAAGGATGAGGTTAATCATAGAATTGATGAAGGAAAAAAGGTGAGCGGTGCATTGAGGTATAAGTGGAGGCAAAAATGTTATTTATATGGAGGCAAAGAAGGGAATATATGAAAGTATAGTAGTACCAACACTCTTATATGGGTGTGAAGCTCGGGTTGTAAATGCTGCAGCGAGGAGGTGGTTGGAGGCAGTGGAGATGTCCTGTCTAAGGGCAATGTGTGGTGTAAATATTATGCAGAAAATTCGGAGTGTGGAAATTAGGAGAAGGTGTGGAGTTAATAAAAGTATTAGTCAGAGGGCTGAAGAGGGGTTGTTGAGGTGGTTTGGTCATTTAGAGAGAATGGGACATGGAGAGCGTATAAATCTGTAGGGGAAGGAAGGCGGGGTAGGGGTCGTCCTCGAAAAGGTTGGAGGAAGGGGGTAAAGGAAGTGTTGTGGGCAAGGGGTCTGGACTTCCTGCAAGCGTGCGTGAGCGTGTTAGATAGGAGTGAATGGAGACAAATGGTATTTGGGACCTGACAAGCTGTTGGAGTGTGAGCAGGGTAATATTTAGTGAAGGGATTAAGGGAAACCGGTTATTTTATATAACCGTACTTGAGTCCTGGAAATGGAAAGTACAATGCCTGCACTCTAAAGGAGGGGTTTGAGATATTGGCAGTTTGGAGGGATATATTGTGTATTTTTATACGTATATACTTCTAAACTGTTGTATTCTGGGCACTTCTGCAAAAACAGTGATTATGTGTGAGTGAGGTGAAAGTGTTGAATGATGATGAAAGTATTTTCTTTTTGGGGATTTTCTTTCTTTTTGGGTCACCCTGCCTCGGTGGGAGACAGCCGACTTGTTGAAAAAAAAAAAAACTAAACACAGAAGAAAGCCATTCATATACCAGTAAAAATGAAATTAATTTACATACAGTAGAACCCCAGTATCCACTGATTCAGTATCTACAGTTGCAGTTATCCACAGTTTACTGTGGCCCAAAAATACCTCTTAATTTTGCATAATAATGGCCCAAAAACACAAAAGCAGAGAAGCTGGCAGTTCTTCAAAGCCTAAGAGAAGCCATGAAGTGCTTCCCATCAGTGAAAAAGTGATAATTCTCCACTTATTGTGCAAAATTTAGCAATTAACCTATATAATAGGTATGTATAGGACTTAAATAGTACAGGTCAGCCATCACTAATCAGGTAATCAGTTATCCGGTTCCATAAGTGATCTGGCACTAATTTTGGTTACCATATTTCAAATTTCATCATTGTATGTACTGACTCTTAAGTAGTAGGTTAGTAGACAGCAACCACCCAGGGAGGTACTACCATCCTGCCAAGTGAGTGTATAACGAAAGCGGTAATTGTTTAACACGATGGTAGGATTGCTGGTGTCTTTTTTTTCTGTCTCATACACATTCAAGATTTCAGGAAACTTTCGTTTTTCCTTTTGGGCCACCCCGCCTCGGTGGGATACGGCCAGTGTGTTGAAAGAAAGATGTACTGACTCAAATTTCATCATTATACCGACTCAGAAATTGTGCAGATGGTTGTAAATTCACAGCAGTAAGCTGGTGGAGGAGAAAGCAGTGATGAAAATGAGGAAGATAAGTTAGTTAAGTGTATTTTAACCTAACCACTCTGTATTCTGGCAAACTCACTAATCCGGCATACTACAGGTCCCAATGATGCCAGATTAGTGATGGCCGACCTGTATAGTGTACAGCAGGTCCTTGGAATGTATCCCCTACAGAAATGGGGGTCCTTCTGTGTGTGTATACACACACACACACACGCATGCACACACGCACATACACGCACACACACGCACGCACACACGCACGCACACACATGCACACACGTGCACACACACACAGTATTGAACTTAATTAATTTCAGAAGGCTGTTCGAACGTTGATTTGTTCGAGTACCAAACGAATTTTTCCCACCCAATTTTCTTTTTGGTTGGCTGTTATCACTAATCTTCGTAGGCCCCATGGTGACTTATTTATACAAATATAAAAAAATGCCAAAAAATGCAAAGAAACGTGAAATAGTTTACAGCAAAGTTCTGGCAGATCGTGTTTGTGTGGTCAAGTGCCGAGCAAATGGTTGATTACTGAGCAATTTTTTTTTACCAAACAAAGCATTCGAATAGCGAATTGTTTGGGTAGGGAGCTGTTCGAGTACCAAGGTTCCACTGTATATACATACATACAGGCAAGCTTTGATTTAACTGGTCCACATAAGTTGCCCCTTTTCAATTCTAGATGATGTATTATCCCACATGTCTATGTCATGTACATCAAAATCCTCTTTCAGCATGTTTATATCCCAAAAAATAAAATCTACTACATTATCCTATAAAATGTTCATATGCATGAAATAGACCCATGATTTTTTTAAAGATGTATTTTTGGAATAGAGCCACAATATTAAAATAGGCTTGAAGGCAATACAGTATATTTAAATGTTTTAGACTTTGAAAGTGATGACCTAAAAGATGCAAGTGTAGTAAGACATAACTTAAAAATTAATGACTTTATTTTTAAATTTTGCATCATGTTTATATGCAATTAATGGTGGTTCCAGACAGGTCAAAATACTCCTGTTTTTAATGACAGGATTTTAGGCAAGATCATAAAATCAGTCTTTGAAATTAATTTTTGTGTGTTAAATATGATAATTTACAATTATAATGATGGTTCACATATAAAATAATTTTTTGGGGTTGACTTTTATATGAGAAATTTTTAATCAATATAAACTGTTCAAAGTTAAATGACAAAATAGCAAGTAGATTAATCACATTTAATTTACTTCTCTGAGTAAGACTGAGATTAAAAATAGTATACTACCTTGTTGTGGTGTTACTATGAGGTTTTCTGAAGTACCTAGCTTGAGTGATCCATGAGAACGACACTTCTCTAATGCAGCCTTAAAGGAATGGAAACAAAAGATAAATACTAAAGCATGATAAAATAACCAGCGTTGTAATAAGACTTGACCGTTAGACCTAACTAGGTAATATAATCATGAAGCTCTTTTAACACTTTGCATTAATTTTTGTTTTAATACTGGCTATCTCCCACTGAGGAAGTGAGACCCAAGAGAGAAGAAATGTTTTCAGAGTTTTTCTTCTCTTTACATTTAGTAACTGCATTAAATTTGTCTATTCATATGAAGTTCTAAATCTATATAGGTAACTTGGTGCAGACTGATGGCAACTTGATCTTCAATCTACTAAACAAGAAAAGACATGCTACCTATCTGTTTGCTGACTACCCCCCAAATAATGAGTGCAAATGCACAATCATTAACTTTAAACATTCTAATTAGTAAGTTATATGAACCTAGGTTATAAAGCTCTTCTCAGATGACAAATGACATTATTTGTGAAGTTACAACACCAAGTCACCCACTAGATGCTGGGTCTCAATCCCATTAACCAGTATTTACAGACGTGATGTACAATTCACTTTATTACAATTAACAGTTTAGCACTACATTAATGCAAATGTGAAACAATATGGGCATTACTAATGAAGGTTTGATTATTCAATTAATGATTATTACTGGAATATATCACTGATACAATATATTACTTCCAGTGCACTCTTAAGACACCTGAATGCTGAGCCATGCAGTTAATAAAATTCACCTTGAAAACTTAGAATTTATAGAGACAAGCATGTTAATTTTAAAAGAAAAACTACTGTTCTAAGCTTAACTAGCAAAGTGCAATACATGCTATTACCATATGTTATTTTTGTTGCAGATGTTAAATGTCTGATCAAGTACAGTCAAAAAATTTATTTAAAGCAACAAACTATGACTCTCTATGCACATCTGATATGCCATTTCTAATTATACATTATCATTATTATAGTCAACTGTTGTATGCCTTAAAAAATTATCTATGTACTTACAAACTATCATTGTATAATACTATATACAGTATATTCTATTATAAACTATTTTGTCATTACTACTTCATTTTACTCAACTATGAAATATTGTTTAACATTCTGTAATACAAAAGGAAAATGGCAACAGTAAGTAAGAGAGAGGTGAAAGTTTATGAACTAAGGGAGGAGGAAGTTAGGGTAAGATATAAGCAACTGTTGGCAGAAAGGTGGGTTAGTGCAAGTGTGGGTAGTGGGGGGTGGGGGGGTTGAAGAGGGATAGGATAGTTTTAGAAAAGGCATATGGATAGGGGAGCAATGTGGCAGATGTTTTAAGTGTATAGAATAGGTAGTAAGTTACTAAATGCTGAAAAGAGTTTTTATGAGGATAGTGATGTTCAGGTTAGGGTGCGCAGGAGAGAGGGAGATTGCTTCCCGGTAAAAGTAGGTCTTAGACAGGGATGTGTAATGTCACCATGGTTGTTTAACATATATATAGATGGGATTGTAAAAGAAGTGAATGCTAGACTGTTGGGGAGAGGAGTGGGATTAAATTATGGGGAATCAAATACAAAATGGGAGTTGACAGAGTTACTTTTTGGTGATGATACTTTGCTTTTGGGGGATTCTAAAGAAAAGTTGCAAAGGTTAGTGGACGAGCTTGGGAGGGTGTGTAAAGGCAGAAAGCTGAAAGTGAACATAGATAAGAGTAAGGTGATGAGGGTATCAAACGATTTAGATAAGAAAAACTGGATATCACACTAGAGGGAGGGTGTAAGGAAAAAGTGAATGTTTTCAGATATTTGGGAGTTGACTTGTCAGTGGATGGATTTATGAAGGATGAGGTTACCCATGGAATTGATGAAGGAAAACAGGCGAGTGGTGCGCTGAGGTATCTGTGGAGACAAAGAATGTTATCCATGGAAGCAAAGAAGGGAATGTACAAGAGTATAGTGATACCAACACTCTTATGTGGGTGTGCAGCTTGGGTTGTAAATGCTGCAGCGAGGAGGCAGCTTTAGGCATTGGAGATGTCGTGTCTAAGGGCAATGTGTGGTGTAAATATTATGCAGAGAATTTGTAGTGTGGAAATTAGGTGGTGTGGAGTTACTAAAAGTATTAGTCAGAGGGTTGAAGAGGGATTGTTGAGGTGGTTTGGTCATTTACAGAGAATGGAACAAAGTAGAATGACTTGGAGAGCATATAAATCTGTAGGGAAAGGAAAGCAGGGTAGGTGTTGCCCTTGAAAAGGTTTTAGGGAGAGGGTAAAGGAGGTTTTGTGGGGGAGGGGCTTGGACTTCCATTAAGTGTGTGTAAGTGTGTTAGATAAGAGTGAATGGAGCCGAATGGTTTTTGAGACCTGACAAGCTGTTGGAGTGTGAGTAGGGTAATATTTTGTGAAGGGATTCAGGGAAACTGGTTAGCCAGACTTGAGTCCTGGAAATGGGAAGTTCAATGTCTGCACTTTAAAGGAGGGGTTTGGGATATTTGCAATTCGGAGGGATGTTTAAGCTGTGGTATCTGAACGCCTCTGCAAAGATAGTGATTATGCATGAGTGATGAATGATGATGAAAGCTTTTTCTTTCTTTTTGGGCCACCCTGCCTCGATGGGAAACGGCCGATGTTTTAAAAAAAAAAATGCACTTACAAGCACATTATAATTGTGAAGCAATGTCACCCTTATTAATATGGTGGTCACAGGTGTAATGCACAAATAATATGCACATTATATGCACATCTTGGTATTATTATTATTCTGATAAAGAATTAATGATAGATGTCAAAGAGTGATCAATGAACAGGTAAATCCCACATGGACAAAAAATCAACAAAAGAGAGAGGATCTGTATACTTCTAACTATGAACCCCTCTTGAATAGATATACGTATTGAAATGTTTAAGTCCAAGAAATACAGATCCTTTCTATTCCACATTTATTTTCCATCTGTGGGATTTACCTATTCATTTTGACATGAAACTTAGATTAGGAATGTGCCATCTATTGAAGTCAATTAAAGTCTCCAAGAATTACTGACACTCTGCTGATACAAATTTGGGCAACAGCAATTTGGTATAAATAGATAAAAGCTTAAATGATGAACTATTTTTAAAAGGATCCCAATTAAATAATATTAAACAACTTTGATAGCAATACCTTGTACTTTGATGCATTACTCTTCGCCAGAGCTTTCTCTTCTTCAGACTGTTTCAGACGTTGTTGTAGATACCTAGAGCATAAACAGACATGATAATAACTTATTAATATGCTGCATGTGAAATTTACAGAATGCTCTAAGAATTGAGAACATCTTGGCTTGATGCAATTATACAAATACATTAAGATGAGAATGAATTAATGACACAAGGTAGTACCAAGTCCTGGAGATGGAAGGGCAGTGCCTGCACTCTGAAGGAGGGATTGCACATATTACACACGTGTGCGCACACACACACACATGCGCACCACACACACACGCGTGCACACACACAAACATTACAAATACGTACACATACCCAAAACCATGGATAGTAGTGAACCCTAAATTTAAGTCATTTTTCGTTCACACACACACCTATGATAAAGTTTAATTGATAAATTATGCACAATAAGTGGAGAATTAGCACTTTTTCATTGATGGAAAGCACTTCATGGCTTCTCTCAGGCTTTGAATAACTGCCACCATAACTACTTTTGTGCTTTGTGACATTATTAAGAAATTTGAAGGGCTTATTTGGGAATAAACGTAATAACTGAAGCTTCCAATTGTTTCTCGTTTAGCGTCCCCCTTTATTAATTATAATAATGTACTAAGTTAATATACAGTTTGAATAACTGAAGCCACAGATACTGGGGTTCTACATTTTATGCCATTGTTATTAAGTTAGTAAAATGTAATGTTAAGTTTAAAATACAGTAGACACCCTGATATTACATGGATTTATGGCCGTTTGGTTCATTTGAAAAATGCGGCATAATTATGCAACACTTTGTAAATTAACAAACATGTATTCATCTGCAGGAGGGAAAAATATGGAGCGCACCTTGGGATATTCCCCTAAGCTCAGGCCGCCACTGGCTGAAGGGTAGAAACAACTGTCACCATAGGAGCTCACCAGCATGAAAGCAAGAAAGATTGCTGGTCTTGCTCCTTTTCGGTAATGGTTTCGAGTGATTTTCAAGTGTAGCCATTATTTATTAACCACTCTAAGATCCTCACTTTTTTGAAAGGTGTAGATAAACCACATTACCATAATTGGAGTCAAAAACAATCAGCATGGATACAGAAGAATTATTTATTGACTGGTTTAAGCATCAATTTATTCCTGAGTCAAATTACCTGCACAGCAAGAACCTTGCATTCAAGGGTCTATTCATTCTTGATAATTCCCATACTCATCCAGAAGCTTTGCTGGATGTGACCCCACATGTAAAAGTTGTATTTATACCTCCAAATACAACATCTTTAATACAACCACTGGATCGGGGAGTTATTAAGTCATTCAAGTGTAACTACACAAGAAAAGTGATGAAAAAAACAGTTGCATCAATGGACTCCTGGCTCCAACCTGGCAGTACCAAGCTTCTGGAATAATGTATAATGTACTGCAGGGTACAAGAAGCCAGAGATCCATTACAGCATTTATGCACACACCAATACAACCACTGACTTTAGTATCAGAACCTCAACCATCCATTTCTGCTGACAATCAACAACCATCCACCTCAGCTCAATAGAACCACACCATGCATCTCCACTCTCTTCACAATCACTGACATACACCAGCAACTACAATTTAAGGTAAATATTATTGTTTCCGTTGCATTTGTAGCCTTAAGCAACAAAAACAATCATTTTTATTTTTGTAAGATCTGGATGTCTAATTTTTTTTTTTTTTTTTTTTGGGGGGGGGGGGGGTCCCAGGAATGTAATCCTATTTTCCCTATAAGCTCTTCAGTTAAATAACAGCAGTTCAAGTGAATGTAGACTACTGCAGTAATATAGGGGTCTACTGTACAGTAATGTTGTCTGAATGATATGCTGGGATAGTAATGCAAAACTGTATTGACAATTTTAGTTATAATTAATTGGGGTAGAAATATAGGGGTGGCAGTAAGTGCAAGAGTATGAATGCCAATTGAAATCTAGATAAGAAGACTGCATTTGACACTTATATACAATCTGTGCATTTAAAAAAAAAAAAACAAAAAAAAAAACAATGTGCATATTTGCATAAAATTCTGGAGGCATTTTTTAACTACTTTTGAAGCAGTTGGCAGATAAGAGACTCAGAATCTTCTGGAACAAGGTTCCTTAGTTTTGGGCCTTTTATTTGCATAGTGTTTACTTATGTTGAGCTGAATACATGGAATATCAGTTTATTTTTGTTTCCAGTATTGTTTATGCATTCTGTTGCAGCTCTCCAAGCAAAGTTTGAGGACTGGGTTAACATTTGTATTGTGTTCTCCATATATAGCATGCAGAGCAGTAAATGTGAATGTTTTGTTAAGCAAATTTCAATTTGAATAGTGTAGTGTAGTGTGTGTGTTACCTGGAACCTGATCGAGTGATCATTCTAATAGTAGATTTTTTGAGTTATGATAGGTTTTAGATGATCTGATGTTGTAGATCTTGTGCACATGGAACATAAGTGAGTTAAAGATTAGTCTATAGAATACAAAGGATAACCAAAAATAAAAAAAGCCAATAAATGCAGTTTATTTCCAATGGGGGTCCATAAGTCTACCCTCAGTATGACATCCACAACAATTTACTAACTCATAGGCATCTACTGCTAGCTGAGCATTGGCAGCAGGTGTAAGGAGACCTGCTCATATTTTTACTTCACCCAGGATTCAAACTTGTGGCAATTCTGTTGCAAGTCATATGAAATAATAATAAGATGGAAATTCCTCTTTTACTAGGGTTAAAAATTAAGTGTTGTTGGGGCAAATCATCACAAAACTTTACATAAAAAATTTTTAACCAAAAGAACACACTGAAGGGAAGAGGTGAGAAAAGTTCCAAAGTAATATTTTCTATACCCTTCTAGTGAATGACCCTGTTATAGTGCTAGTAACAGGTTGGTGGACAGCAACTGCCCAGGGAGGTACTACCGTCCTGCCAAGTGAGTGTAAAGCAGAAGCCTGTAATTGTTTTACATGATGGTTGGATTGCTGGTGACTTTTTTCTGTCTCATAAACATGTAAGATTTCAGGTACATCTTGCTACTTCTACTTACACTTAGGTCACACTACACTTGCACGTCTTCTCTTCTTCTTTCAACACACCAGCCGCATCCCACCGAGACACTTGCATGTACAAACATATATATACACACCCCTCTGGGTTTTCTTCTATTTTCTCACTAGTTCTTGTTCTTGTTTATTTTCTCTTATCTCCATGGGGAAGTGGAACAGAATTCTTCCTCCATAAGCCATGTGTGTCATAAGAGGCAACTAACATGCCAGGAGCAAGGGACTAGTAACCCCTTCTGTATACATTAGTTACAAAAGAGAAACTTTCATTCTTCTTTTTGGGCCACCCTGCTTCAGTGGGATATGGCCACTTTGTTGAAAGAAGATATGATAAATGATAAATGAGCACTTCAGAACAAAAACTTTAAATACATACTGGATAGGCTCCATAATTTGCCTAAATGGCACATATTCAGTAAATGCCATACTTTGTTATGGTAACTAACCTATTTTCCGTTATAATGGCATCAAGATCTATGATTCGTTTTGGAGGTGTTGCTGTTGTAGCAGCAGAAATATTGGAAAGAACTGTATTAAGAATGTAGTTGAGGCGATGGAGTTTATGCGAAGAGGCATCCAGCTCTCTCACCAGCTCCTCTCTCTCCTCCACCAAGCCTCGCACATCGCCTTCTAAAGCTTGGCACTGAAATATGGATATTGAAAAAAAAAAAATGTATGAAATAAATAAATATTGGGAGAATATACTATATCAGTTACATTGTACATAACAAGACACCACCTCAAAGCATATCTCAAACACTATTTCAGTCCTTGATTCCATAAAAAACAAGAGCATAAACTCTGGCTACAGATTTCATTGTTTAAAAAGAGTCTTGCAAAGCTAACTTTGGCACTGAGCTCTTCCATCTGTGATATAAACTGCTCACGCTCTTGATGTGCAAGCTTACTCATGGTGGTATGGACATGGCTTCTCCGCCGGCCCTCATCACCTCGTGAACGCTGAACCTCTTCCCGAAGAACCTTAGAAATGTATGTATAAGGAATATTTACAGAATAAAAATACAGTATAAAAAATGAAGTCTGTCACCAATTTAAATAATAGGGGTAATTACAGCAGCAATCCTGAATACTGTGGAAGGTAAATTAAATTAGTATACAAAGAAAAATCTAGGTGCTCAGCACTTACGTATTCATGTGTGTTAAACTTTTTATATGATTTTGACTGAGATATAGAAATTAATTTAATATTACATCACACTTTGCATCTGACCTTGATATCAGCCTGGGCATCATGCAGTTTACAACGGAGTTCAGTGGCATCCTGTCGCAGCATCTTATTTTCCTCTTTGGATTGTGAGAGTAGCTGTGCTAGAGTACCATCAGATCCACTTAGCATTGCTGAGCGACATGGGTCAGAATATGCTGGCTTCTCATATACAGAATATGCAGGGTCAAGTATGCACAGGTGTAAGGAATAAAGAATATTACAGAAATTATTTAAGAGTTTTCTTCATGATACAATTAATTTACAATACAGCCTCTCTTCACTTAGTGACGTACTCGTTTACTGACGACTCAGACTTACGATGGGCTCTGACCAGTATGCATACCTAAATAATGTATATTAGAGCTGATTTCCTCTATTCTGTTTATTACAATATTACAGTACACTACTGTATAAACATTTAAAAATACATATACCAGAAATGTTATAAACGGTGCAAAGGTGACATTAAAACAATATCAGAGATGATAATTGACAGAAACCCACTACCATTATAATATGCTCCTTACTTAGTGATGAATTCGTTTACCAACGTGGTCTTAGGAACGGAACTCTGTCATTAAGTGAGGAGAGATTGTATGTGATATTCTTTGAGTACCAGATATATACAGTGGACCCCGGTTAACGATATTTTTTCATTCCAGAAGTATGTTCAGGTGCCAGTACTGACCGAATTTGTTCCCATAAGGAATATTGTGAAGTAGATTAGTCCATTTCAGACCCCAAAACATACACGTACAAACGCACTTACATAATTGGTTGCATTGGGAGGTGATCGTTAAGCGGGGGTTCACTGTATTAGAATGTCTATAACCATTTCTCTGTAAAATATACTGCACAACAGAACTGTTCACTAATAAAATTCAATGAAAATCTTATAAAGGAAGCCCAGGAATATTCAATTAAACAAAGATAGTGAAAATTATGTAGTACGATGCTTCATTCTTCCCTGGGGACAATATTATTTATATAATCAGTTTCACATCTGTGCCAGTCTACACTAATTTGTGTAATAAAATATGAATTTAAACAGTGACTTTTTGCTTAGAAACCTGTTTGTTCATAAAAGCTGTAACTTGCTTTATGTCTCAACTTAAAAATACGAGTTTATAATGTACTTTATAATGTATTACTAGTAAATTAAATGTCTTACATTTTGTTTTATTTACTGTAAGATGCATATGAAGAATCAATAAAACAGTAAAAAAATTTTATCTGAAACCCTTTAAAATTGTATCATGTCATGAATATAGCTAGATAAAATTTTTATATAGGTGAACAGTATTTACATAAGGGTAAAGAGGTTTTTGTGGCATTTATGGATATGGAAAAGGCATATGATAGGGTGGATAGGAGGGCAATGTGGCAGATGTTGCAAATGTATGGAATAGGAAGCAGGTTATTGAAAGCGGTGAAGAGTTTTTACGAGGATAGTGAGGCTTAGGTTAGAGTATGTAGGAGAGAGGGAGATTATTTCTCAGTAAAAGTAGGATTTAGAGAGGGATGTGTGATGTTACCATGGTTGTTCAATATGTTTATAGATGGAGTTGTAAGAGGAGTGAATGCTCAGATGTTGGCAAGAGGTGTGTGGGTTAAAAGATAAAGAATCAAACACAAAGTGGGAGTTGTCTGAGTTGCTCTTTGCTGATGACACTGTGCTTTTCAGAGATTCTGAAGAGAAGTTGCAGAGGTTGGTGAATGAGTTTGGTAGGGTATGTGAAAGAAGGAAATTAAAACTAAATATAGGAAAGAGTAAGGTGATGAGGATAACAAAAAAAAAATTAGGTAGCGAAAGAGTGGATATCAGATTGGAGGGAGAGTGTATGGAGGAGGTGAATGTTTCAGATATTTGGGAGAGGATGTGTCAGCAGATGGGTCTATGAAACATGAGGTGAATCATAGAACTGATGAGGGGGAAAAGGTGAGTGGTACACTGAGGAGTCTGTGGAGACAAAGAACTGTATCCATGGAAGCAAAGAGGGTAATGTACGAGAGTATAGTTATACCAACACTCTTATATGGGTGTGAAGCATGGGTGGTGAATGTTGCAACAAAGGGAAGGCTGGAGGCAGTGGAGATGTCGTATCTGAGGGCAATGTGTGGTGTGAATGTAATGCAGAGAATCCATAATTTGGAGATAAGGAAAAGGTGCAGGATTACCAGAACTATTATAAAGAGGGCTGAGGAGGGGTTATTGAGAAGGTTTGGACACGTAGAAAGGCTGGAAGGAAATAGACTAACTTTGAGAGTGTATAAATCTGTATTGGAGGGAAGCCAGGGTAGGGGTTGGCCTAGGAAAGGGTGGAGGGAGGGAATAAAGGTTTTGTGTGCAAGGGGCTTGGACTTCCAGCAAGCATGCGTGAGTGCGTTAGATAGGAGCGAATGGAGACAAATGGTTTTTATGACTTAACGTGCTGTTAGTGTGTGAGAAAAATAACATTTATGAAGGGATTCAGGGAAACTGAAAGGCTGGACTTGAGTCCTGGAGATGGGAAATACAGTGCCTGCACTCTGAAGGAGAGGGGTGTTAATGTTGCAGTTTTATAACTGTAGTGTAAGCACACCTCTGACAAGACAGTGATGGAGTGAATGATGATGAAAGTTTTTCTTTTTCAGGCCACCCTGCCTTAGTGGGAAACGGCCGATGTGTTAATATATAAATAAAAATAAAATTTTTTATAGGAATCTATACAATCTGTGCAGAAAGTTGTGATGCCAGCTGCAGGACAAAGTTTTGATCATTACAACACATCACAACCAATGATTGAAGCCTGGGCTCTCCAGAAATCCTGGGAAAAACTTGCATATGAGGCCATGCAGCTTCAAGAGTGGGCTCATATGCCTTTGGCTCAAACTCTGAACTATGTTCAATGAAGATAAGTTGATGGTATATTAGATGGATAATAATGGTAGAAGAGGACTGTTTTGTAGTGTTTTTTAGTTTTTTGGTCTCTGCTTCATGGCTGCTCTAGAGGTGCAGCAGCCATAAAGCAGAGAATACTGTTCTCTTCTAACACTATCATCCATCTAGTATATCATCATTTGAGCTTCATTGAACATAATGTAGAATTCAGCCCAAAAACAGATGAACCCACTCTTAAAGTTGCATGGTCCCACCTCCACTTGGTGCAAGTAAAGTTTAGGCTTCAACCATCTGCTGCCTTGATCAGCTGACTGGCCAGTCAGCTGATCAGGTTATTTGACTGCAAACTCTACAGTATATGCTGGCTGCAGGATGAACTTTTGATCAAGGCAGCAGATGGTTGAAGTCTAGACTTTACTTGCACCAAGTGGAGGTGGGACCAATGTTTTCTTTCAATTTCCATTTAATTTTTTTTTCACTGGAGCCCTAAACTCATATGGGGTCATGCAGAGCCTTGGGAATATGAGGCAATCTGAGATGATTCAAGGAAAGGCTAGGCAGCTGTAAGTCCATGGATCAAGATCCTATCACTTGCATCACTGATACGTAAGTGACCAGCAGCATGTCAAACATTTAGCCAGTGACATCATATGTAGAATGCAAACTCTCTATACCTCAATCTTCGCTGAAACACTAAACAATGTCCCTTCTATATATTATTGTATAAATAATCCTAGACTTCACTAGTATTTCATTACTATTTGTAAGACAATCATTCCTAAACAAAGAGGGCTCTGAAGCAGTTAAAACCCTGCAACTTCTTGGGCTCTGCCCTTGGTCCCAAGGAGGGAGGGGGGATTTTATGCAGTCTTTCTGCATTGTAAATATATTAAATAAAGATAATTCTTGGGACTTGGCCCAATAGGGGAGGTTCCTGGATGATGGAGGGGTTCTTGATCCAAGGAGCTGGACTTGTTCTCCCCCTCCTTAGATAAAACCCGATTATCTCCCATTTCCCAAGCCCTACATGACCCATATAGGTTTAGCACCTCCCTAAGTATAATAATAATCATACTCTCGGGATTTGAATCTGCTTTTGAACAAAAATTTAACCATAATCATAAATTTATTATAATTATTATAGTGAGGCAGTGTAGCCTAGTAAGGAGACATAAGAATAGGTAATACTACATTAGCCAACTTTCACCTTTAAGACAGTAGAGGAAGATGACCTGTGCAGTGTTCCTTGCTCTGCTAATGTTCGAAATTTCTCTCGCTCTCTCTGGCACTCTTGGAGTTCTGCTCTGAGGATCCCCACTGCAGCACTCTTACTCTCCACAGCACGCCGTAAAACACCCACCTGTTTATAAAGAAAATAAAGATAAAATATATGAGAGGAAAGTCTCAGAAAGACAGGAAAGGGAAATATACTAAACATATTATTATTATGAATCATTCAGCCCTACATGGCAAGAGTGATGAGGATGGTAGAATGGAAGATATGTAAGTGTTGAAGGAAGATCAATGGTCAAAGAAGGAAGTCAACTGATGTAGCAAATCAGTATCAATCAAGAAACTGAACAGAGAAATGTTAATGCAACCTGACAATACAGTAGTATGGGAGGAGTCCCTAAAGCCGAAGACTATGCAGAAGTATGGTGTGAGGAATACTTACACACAAAAGTATTACTTCACACAAGTGACATTAATGATGGGAGGACAAACAGATGCCCAACTGTGGGTATTTTGTGTTGTTGACCAACAACACTTCAAAAATCTCACAAGAGCATCAAAAAATTGCTGAAGCATTGTAACCACTTGCAGGAAATTTAAAGATCATGAAGTATTAAATACACTGGGGGAATCTCTCACCTCAAGGAAGGTTCCTTGATGCTGGTGAGGGGCTCTTGATCTAGGGAATTGGATCTGCGCTCCAATTCCCTGAATTGAACCTGAATGCCTTCCATCCCTCCCCCCACAGGTGCTGTATAATCCTATGGGTTTAGCACTCCATGATTATAATAATAATAATGGGGGGAATCTGCAATTTCATTATCCAGAAAACCAGCCTGACCAACAGCATGGCAAAAAATTACCCTTTTGTATCTACTGAAGATAAGACACAATCATCAATGAAAATGAAAGATAAGTGAATACGAGAAATCAGTTCTGAACTACTAGTACTGCACTATGAGTGTGTAAAACTACAACAACAGATAAGGAAGTCATTGTTGTTTTGTGGAAGACAAGTTGAAATGCATGTTAAATCAAAAAATTTGGAAGCCCAAAAATAGAATGTTAACCCAAAACCAACTTACTTCATTTCGAAGATTTTCAAGTTCCTCCTCTGGAGTCATAATCTGCAGCTGACGTGTTCTGGATCTTCCGCTCATGATGCTTCATGCAAGATAAATATTAGTCACTAGGCGATAATGCAACTGGAACTGGTACTGTAATCACTTTTAAAGACTGATAATACTGCATATTGTTGGGGTTGTTAACCTAACTTAACCTTTATGGCCACCAAAGCTTAAGCCCACTGAGCCCTGCCTCCCGGGAGCAAAAGGGGAAAAAATGCCAAAATTTAGAAGGAAATTATAGAAGAAACTATTTTCACCGGAAATTAACGGGAACGTACAATTAGATCAGGTGGATCACCTTGCCTAAACCCTGGCAGAGCCAGACACACACACACACCTGAGTCAACAAGAGATGTAGTGGAGGCAGAAACTATACATAGTTTTAAGACGAGGTATGATAAAGTTCATGGAACAGGGAGAGGGAGGACCCATTAGTGGTCAGTGAAGAGGCGGGGCCAGGAGCTGAGTCTCGACCCCTGCAACCACAATTAGGTGAGTACATCAGATTTTGCTTAACCCTAGAAGCTGATGTATGGAGCCCCTACCAGTTGGCCAGCAGCAGGCAGTGTATGATGAAGACAAACGTCTCAGGGAGGGAAAATATTTAAAAATTGACATTGATACTCAAGATAGTGAGTAAAGCAAGATGTCTACACTCAACCAATACAAAAGTGCAAGGACTGATACGGTATCTTGTGTTGACATCTGTCAGCTGATGTGTCGTCTGCTCCATACAACAGGGACCCCTCGTGTAAATATTCTCATCTCGGGGGTATATAGGGTCACTATTGCAAATGTAGTTTATGGCCTTGTATTACTGTTCGAAAATAAAAATACTGACCACCTGAAGAGGAAGAGAAACAATTTAGTGAAACTGACCACTTGCTCAAGTCAATACAGTACATACAACAGAGAACCTTCGTATAATGCTCTGCCAACACAACAGGATCTCATTCTATAATTTTCCCAACGCTAACGTTACAGATACCTTTAAACAAACAGCTCCTTCAAGGGGTGCATACTAAGACATAAAAAAAAAAACTCAAGGGAGGTGCCTTGATGCTGAGGAGTGCTGAAGAGGGGCTCTTAGTCCAAGGATGTAGACTTGTTCTCAAATTCTTAAAATGATAGTAAATTATTTAAAAAAATAGCCTAGCGCACTCAGCTCACACACTGAGGTTCGGGGTTCGAATCTCCTCCGGTACGGCTGAAAAACATTAGGGACAGGGTTCCATAAGACACCTGCTGTCCCTGTCCTTGTTCACCCACCAGTTTAAAATGGGTACCTGGGTGTTAGTGGACTGGTGTGGGTCGCATCCTGGAACAAAACTGACCTAATTTGCCCGAAATGCTCAGCACAACAAGAGGCTTTCTATATGGTAGTATGTCATTGATGTCATCTAAGACTGTATACCTTGTACATGTGCTGACACTGTACTTCCAACATTCAGAACCTAAGTCGGGTTAACTTGTCTATTCTCCGATCTAGTTGTCACACAAGCCTGCTGGGTGTTAAAGTCCCCAAGAATCAAAACCTCCTCCTAACCCTTAATGGATGGACCCCCTACTCGTCCTTCCGTCCGGAACTGTTAAAAATAACTAGTCCTAACATTCAGGAAAACCCATACTCCAGAAAAGCAGAGGCTTTTAGTCCATTGCGCCACCTCAGTGGTCAGTCGTCACGTGAGGTCACAGACCCTGAGCTGCTTTGGGGATTAGTGTGGACGGTTACAAAGCATGGCTTGCTCCTGCAGTGTTTTAAAAATTGAGGTTGGAGAGTTGAAGGAGGAGGTCTTGCTTCTCCAGGAGGAGATTAGGAGGCTGAAGGTCCACCTCAGTGGGTCTGGGAGAGAGTGTGAGGTGGCTGGAGTTGTGGGGAATGAGGCTTCTAGCAGTGAGGTGCAGTCTGTCTCTCGCTGTGAGGAGGCTGTAGCTGGGGAGGTAGCAACGGCTACCAGCAGTGAGGTGCAGTCCAGCACCTGCTACAAGTGGCGAGTGGTTCACAGTAATGGAAGGCGCATCAGAGTAAGGAAAGTTAAGAGTGAAGATCTGAAGGTAGGAAATCGCTTCTCTGTTCTTCAGGATGAATTGTACTTCAGTGGCCAGTGAAGGTAAGGGTACTACTGCCCCTGCTAATGGAGGCAAGCGCATTCTTGTGGTTGGTGACTCTCAGGTAAGATATATTGACCGTCCTTTTGTAATAGGAATAAGAAGATGAGAGATAGAGTGTGCTTCCCTGGAGCTGGTGTTGGGGACATTGTCAACAGGCTGGATAATATCACGTCAGGTAATGGGAACAAGCCCATTATCTGTCTCAGTGCTGGTGGAAATGATATTGGGAAGGGTAGGAGAGAAGAGCTGCTAGATAAGTACAGGTCAGCTATAGATTTCATTAAGTCTAAGGGAGGGATCCCAATCATATGTAGCATCTTGCCTAGAAGGGGAGTAGGAAATGAATGGTTGTCTAGGGCAATTGGTGTAAATTGCTGGCTAGACAGATACTGCAAGGAACTTGCAATCCCATTCATTGACAACTGGAACAACTTTTATGGCAAACATGATATGTATGCAAGGGATTGGGTACATCTCTCTGGGCTGGGGTGGTAGCACTTGCAGACTCGATTGAGAAGGCCATTGGTGAAATGCCTATGATTTTAAACTGAAGGAAGATAGAGGTATGGTGTGTATGGGAAACAAGCAGGTTGCAACACTTGGGTTGGAAACAGTAAATGTATAAAAGGCATTCAGCATGAAGTTATAAATAAAGACAATAGATCAGGTCAGCAAACAAAGGGGGACAGCAGAGGGCAGCAAGGGACTAGCTCCCTTAAGGTTTACTATACTAATAGCAGGAGTGTAAGAAATAAGATAGATGAGCTAAGATTAATTGCAAGTGCGGGAAACATAGATATTATTGCTATAACAGAGACCTGGCTTAATCTGAAAGATAGAGAGTTTGCCCTCTGAATGTCACATACAAGGCTATAAATTATTCCACACTGACAGGGTAACAGGAAAGGTGGTGGAGTAGCGATGTATGTCAGAGACAATTTAAATTGTTGTGTTAGACAAGATATTAAATTAGAAGCGTCAGCCACTGAATCTGTTTGGTTACAGCTTCTCGAGGGCCGAGAAAAACTAATTTTGGGTGTGATTTACAGGGCCCCAAATCTTGATAGGGAGTGCAGTAAACTTATGGACGAAATTCGTAAGGCATCTACATACGAAAATGTTGTGCTAATGGGAGATTTCAACTATAGACAGATTGACTGGAGCAATTTGACAGGAAATTTAGAGTCAGTGACTTTTGATACGATCCAGGATTGTTTTTTAAAACAGTTTGTGACAGAGCCAACTAGGGGAAATAACCTCCTTGACTTGGGTTTTTGCCAGTAGGGAAAACACTAATTAATAATCTTGAGGTTAATGATGAGCTTGGGGAAAGTGATCACAAATCACTCAGTTTTAATATATCATGGAATTCCCCTAATAATGGCAATCAAGTCTCCGTCCCTAACTTTCGCTTGGCTGATTTCATAGGACTGAAAATTACTTAGGTGGGCTGAACTGGAATGACCTGACTAAGGGTCAGGTAGGTGGGGATGGTTGCCGATATGATGCTTTCCAGGGCATAGTTCTAGCTGCTCAGTCAAATTATGTTCCAAATAGGGAAATCAGATCAAACAAAAATGATCCTAAATGGATGAACAATAGATTAAAATATCTGATTGGTCAAAAGAGAGGCATATATAGGCAAATCAAAAGAGGAGAGGGGCAATTGAGAAATCGATATATTCAGTTAAAGAGAGAAATAAAAAAGGGAATTAGAAAAGCAAAAAGAGATTATGAGGTTAAAGTTGCAAGAGAATCGAAGACTAACCCAAAAGGATTCTTTCAGGTATACAGAAGTAAGATCAGGGACAAGATAGGCCCACTCAAAAGTTCCCTCGGGTCAGCTCACTGACATGATAAGGAAATGTGTAGAATTTTTAACACATACTTCCTCTCAGTTTTTACACAGGAGGATACCAGCGATATTCCAGTAATGATAAATTATGTAGAACAGGACGATAATAAACTGTGCACTATTAGGGTCACAAGTGACATGGTCCTTAGGCAAATAGATAAATTAAAACCTAACAAATCCCAGGCCCTGATGAACTGTATGCAAGGGTTCTAAAGGAATGTAAAGAGGAGCTTAGCACACCTTTGGCTAATCTTTTCAACATATCACTACAAACTGGCATGGTGCCAGATAAGTGGAAAATGGCAAATGTGATACCTATTTTCAAAACAGGTGACAGGTCCATAGCTTCGAACTATAGACCAATAAGCCTAACCTCCATAGTGGGAAAATTTATGGAATCAATAATTGCCGAGCAGTTCGTAGCCACCTTGAAAAGCATAAATTAATCAACGAATCTCAGCATGGTTTTACAAAGGGGCGTTCCTGCCTTAACGAATTTATTAACTTTTTTCACTAAGGTATTTGAGGAGGTAGATCATTGGTAATGAATATGATATTGTGTATATGGACTTCAGTAAGGCTTTTGACAGGGTCCCACATCAGAGACTATTGAGGAAAATTAAAGCACATGGAATAGGAGGAGAAATTTTTTCCTGGATAGAGGCATGGTTGACAAATAGGCAGCAGAGAGTTTGCATAAATGGGGAGAAATCAGAGTGGGGAAGCGTCACGAGCGGTGTTCCACAGGGGTCAGTGTTGGGCCCCCTGCTGTTCACAATCTACATAAACGACATAGATGAGGGCATAAAGAGCGACATCGCAAGTTTGCGATGACACCAAAATAGGCCGTCGAATTCATTCTGACGAGGACATTCGAGCACTCCAGGAAGATTTGAATAGACTGATGCAGTGGTCGGAGAAGTGGCAGATGCAGTTTAATATAGACAAATGCAAAGTTCTAAATGTTGGACAGACAATAACCATGCCACATATAAACTAAATAATGTGGATCTTAATATTACGGATTGCGAAAAAGATTTAGGATTCTGGTTAGCAGTAATCTGAAACCAAGACAACAGTGCATAAGTGTTCGCAATAAAGCTAATAGAATCCTTGGCTTCATATCAAGAAGCATAAATAATAGAGTCCCAGGTTGTCTTCAACTCTATACATCCTTGGTTAGGCCTCATTTAGATTATGCTGCACAGTTTGGTCACCGTATTACAGAATGGATATAAAATTCTCTGGAAAATGTACAAAGGAGGATGACAAAGTTGATCCCATGTATCAGAAACCTTCCCTATGAGGATAGACTAAGGGCCCTGAAACTGCACTCTCTAAGAAAGACGTAGAATTAGGGGGGATATGATTGAGGTGTATAAATGGAAGACAGGAATAAATAAAGGGGATGTAAATAGTGTGCTGAAAATATCTAGCCTAGACAGGACTCGCAGCAATGGTTTTAAGTTGGAAAAATTCAGATTCAGGAAGGATATAGGAAAGTACTGGTTTGGTAATAGAGTTGTGGATGAGTGGAAACAAACTCCCAAATACCGTATATAGAGGCCAGAACGTTGTGTAGCTTTAAAAATAGGTTGGATAAATACATGAGTAGATGTGGGTGGGTGTGAGTTAGACCTGATAGCTTGTGCTACCAGGTCGGTTGCCGTGTTCCTCCCTTAAGTCAATGTGACCTGACCTGACTAGGTTGGGTGCATTGGCTTTAGCCGGTAGGAGACTTGGACCTGCCTCGCATGGGCCAGTAGGCCTTCTGCAGTGTTCCT